GCCCCCCCCCCAAAAAAAAAAAAAAAAATGTTGGCTACGCTCCTGATCTTAAAACTCTTGAAGTGCTGGTGAGATCGATCATGATAGTGTATGTGTTCAGAGGGACCTCCCATGGATTAGTGTCAAAACTATCTATATATCAGGTGTGCTCAGAAATTTTCCACGGAAAATTCTACGGAAAAACAAGGACTTCATACTCCAAGCAATTTCTCTATGAAAGTTTGTAAAATTTGCGTTCCCTTTTTGGCTCTTTTGGGACATTGTGGAGCATTATCCGATCATTTTTCAATCGGGGCTGCCGGTTCTCGGAGCATCAAGTTCAAAAAATCCGGAAGGATTCCACAACAAATCAACGAAACCTTCCCTCTCACGTGACAATGTCACTTGAAATCAGCAATTAGGGGAGGCATGGAGATACGAATTCAATGTAAAACGGTTCAAAACTGAGCAACTTTCCTTGCGTTAACAAAATCAGGGTTAAGCATTTTAATGCCGCGCGAGTTTAATAGCGGAACACGCCAATTTTTTATGGACTGATGAAAGAATTTCGCGTCTTGGTTCTCCTTTAGATTGAGCCACAAAAAGTGTCCTACTGCTTCCACACTCAGGTTGAGTCATCGATCTGACATCAGTATGCGGGTCCTTTCGTTAACAAGAGGTCAGCCGCCGCGCCGCGCCGTCTCAATTCTGTCAACTAATTGAGAGAAATTGGAGACAGATGGGTTAGTCACTTGGTTCTGTGACTAAACATAAAACCTACGTATATAATTTGATTCAACGAAGTGTATTCAAAATTGAAGAGATTTTTAATTTAATCTAAGAACGTAAAAAGAAGAAAAAAATTGAAAAAATACAAATTTTACGGAACAAATGCCGCCGGATCAGCATAGTTGATTTCGCTCAACCTTGAAGACAATGGGTCTGTTGCACGCAAGAGGTACAACCTACTGAATACACCATCTAAGAGTGAATTCACGCACAAATTACATTGAGGATATCAAGAAAGTCTGAAATCCACTCCATAGCGAGCAATCTGTGTAGCTCGTAGTATGTTTTTTTTTTTTTCAAATTTACCGCGTATGCGCGGGCAGTTTTTCATGTCAACTGGCTGTCAGGTTTGCCCGGCGAGAGACCTAACCTAAATAAACAAACAATCTCGCAAACTGTATTAACTCTTTTTGCATAAGATTTTAATTTATTCCAAGCTTTCATTTTTTTGAAATAAAGAAAGAAAAATGATAAAAACGCTCTAAAACGATGGAAATGATACAATAGAAAAAGTTAGTGAGATCATTTGTTTACTAGGGTTATTTGTTGATACTCTTCTGTCCGTGCAAACCTGGCCGACGGTGGCTAAGAAAAGCTGCCCGCAGGCGCGGGAAACTTGAAAAAGCGTGTTGAAAACCACGCAGATTGCGCGCTAAGGAACGGGTTTCACTCGATTTCAGTGGTTCGTGGTATCTGCAATAATCTGCAAGGATGAATGAGGGAGTTCTCACGAAGGACGAAGAATTTTAGCGAACGTCCAATCCATTACTTAAATCCACAGAGAAAAAAAGGAGGTGTTTAAATTTCGGGCATCTTGGAATTTTTTTGATGACGTAGGTCGGTACAGCGACTTTCATCATCGATTTTCTTGGAAATGGTTTGATTTATGGAAAAAAGTCGTTCTATAAAAAGTGCTTGAAATTATATTCTGTGTTGATTCAAGTAAAAAAATCGGACTTTATGGTCCGTTTTTCATATTTCGAATTCTGGATTTCGCTGGCCAGGTTGTACCGACCTACGTCACAGGGTAAACAAACCTCAAGATGCAAACATCTCCTTTTTTTCTCTATGACATAAATCATACACCGAATGGCAAATTTTAATCGTGGCCAAAGCAGGACAAAAATGAGTTGTCACGAGAAAAAATATTCGAGCTTATGGATAGGTTACTGAAATAACTGAGTAACCTTGATGGATGCGAACGCTTGCGTTGTTGACGACATTTATTTACGGGCGGCAAAATTGAAATCACTCACGAAGATGATGCAATGCTAATATTGAGCAGTGAGCGCCTTGAAAGGAATACGATCGTCATAGGTGCATAACTGCATTGCAATCAAGCAGACCGTTAAATGAGATTAAAGAACTTCGCTGACCGGCTTAACTGATCCAGGAATTTTGCAATTCGTATTCATTATAAAAGGCTAGATATCAGGGAACTTTTTTCCGTTTGATCTTTTAAAAAATCGAAGACGGATCCGTCACACCGAACTTGACAATCCTTCCTTTTGATGGCGCATGACGTAATTTTTGAACAACCCACGTCCTGTTGTGCTGGTGCTAAGGAAGAACACCGTATGAGCCTTCCCGGTAGCTTTGTTGCCTATGCGATGAAATTGAAGGCGACTCTCAAATGGATGATAGTCTAATATTCACCGAATGATAGTCATGGATTTTCTGAATAATTCCGTGGTATGAAAACTCGTTAAAGTTTCATAAAATGGCTGATTCGATAAAGAACGGAATATTTAGAAAAGAGGATCCGGATTGTCTTGAAACCTTAATTGCCTTTTTAGGTACAACAAATATAAACGACCGTTGAACTCAGAGTACGATTTCAAAAACCATCTTTTATCATGGTCACTGCAGAAAGAAAAGAATTGATCTTTGAGAGGAGTCATTACTTATGAACTAGGATGTTGGAATAATGGCGTTTCCGGCAAATAAGCTACGAAAGCACTGCTCCCCCAAATAAATTTATGATTTTTTTAATTGTATTTATTATCCGTAGATACTTTAATAAAATGCTATCGCAGGCTTTATAAACAGCTAACTCTAAATCGGACGAGGTTTGACTTTATTTACTACGGGACACCTAATTTTTATACTTGTAAACGATTCCAGGTACAAGTCCTCAAATAGATCACTGCATAGAGTATGCTTTTTGGCCTACTTTCAAAATTGAAGGCGAAATGAGAAGGTATGTAATCGCCTCCAAAGTCATTCGTGCAAAATCTGCTTTCTCTACGTTTAGACTCAGAAAACATCACTGAGCCCCCATAGGAAAGTAATGCAAACCTATGAAATTTTCTACTCTCACTTGAGTGATAGGAATTAATTGGAACAATAATTTTAAAAACATCAAAAGCATTACTGTGACCTGAAAACCCTTCTTGCTCGCTAGGTCTCGAATACGATCTAAATTTAAGGGCTTAAGCATTGGTTTCGTATGCCTTTGACGAGAGTGCTTATGAGAGCATTCAGGCAAGGTTTTAAACATATTTTCATTTTTCAGAGCCGCTGGAATCTTAGAGGACGAAATTTCTACGCAGATTTGGCAAGGTGTATGGTTAAAAACTTTTGAGCAGGGTGCAAGCATAATCGCAGTCACTGATGAAGAAACTCCAACCATTGTTGGAGCTCTTGCTTTGTGTGTGGTGTCGAAAGCTGACGATTTAAAGGAAGAAGTAAGTCGAGCTTGGAGTGCATGCAACAACCCCTTAGTTGACTCAATGAAGTAAAACAAAATGAGATGAGGAACTCTCTATTCGATTATAGTGGTAACAATTTGAGTCGATTAATAAATTTGGTAACGATTAGAAATCAAAACTCAAGAAAAATGATTCAGTAAAATTTGAATTTTTAGCGCTGAATACATCGTTGACCTCAAACATTTAAAAATATCGTATTACAGGGGCAATTCAGTGGGTTTAATGGGGTCCAACACCTGTCAGAGCAAAGAATTTGGGTTTTGCAATTTTTTCAAAAACCCAGGCGAGAAAAATAAATCTAATGACAATAAATTGATTGTGTTATGGGATCGCTAGCACTATGGATTAAAAACTGAAGATGAACTTATATTAAATGTATTTATTTGAAGTTGCCTCAGCCTTTCGGCCTCGTCCATCGTCAGGACTTTTCCGAGACAAGGTAATGACTTCAAAGTGATAAGAGATAAAGCTGGTTACATTGGGAGATAAGACCACCATAGATTGTCAACCATCTTTCAAACTAATGATACCTATTTCAATTCAAATTCATGTATGGTGTTAAATTGTTATTCTCTGTAAAAAAGTCCTGACGATGGGCAAGGCTGAAAAGCTTAGATAACTTTAAATAAATACGGTTAATGTAAGTTCATATTCAATTTTTATTCCACAGCACTGGCTACCCCATAAAACAATAATTTACTTAAATGCCTGCTACCAAAAAATGTTGTACATCGACACATTAAAAAAAAAAAGGACGATGAATTATTTTAGATTACTTTAAATTCGATACAATTTTATCCTCAAAATAGCACCTCCATGGGCCAAAAACCTAAGATTTTATCCTGAAAAACCAGAGACATCCTAGAATCCTCCTAAAACTGAAAATTGCAATATTATGCAGGGGCAATTGGACGTATTTATGCCAAATGGAACTAAGTGCATAGGGGTTGCGTGAGACATAGTTCCTTTTAGCATAAATACGTCCAATTCATCAATTCAATGTTAAAAATTACGAGCAAGTTGCCTTTGACGTGGATTTCGTCCTAGGTACTGTGGAAAAATTCCTAAAAGAAAGAGATTCGTCCGAAACTAAAAATATACGGTCAAAAGGACGAAATTTCCGTCCGCCAACCACAACTCGTGGCACATCCAAGGACTCGGGAAATATGGTTTTGCTCGCCGTTAATTGGACTAAATTTTGCAATAAGGAGCTACTACATTTGGTTCATTTTTGAAACAACGTATGTTCTATTAGTATCTTCTTGCATAGTGCATAGTTGCTCTTCGATTTTATGGATGACTCAGAGATAGTAGTTTCAGGTTCCTGGTGCAAAATGTAGTCCAATTAGTCTTCGGTAGCTTTCCCATTAAAGATGCCACATGAAGGTTAAATTTGTCCGTCATTCTAGACTTGTAATAAGCTGATTTCCTTGGAGAAACGTTTGGACATGTGGCATTGCTATATTTCTAATATTTCAGTCTGTACTGCTGAAGGCGTTTGAAAGGCCCTTACTAATTTTTTTCCGTAACACGATCTGATGTCACACGTTTTGCACGGAACGTTTCTTAAATTTCAAAAATAGGAGACATAACATGCGGTGAAACTTGGTGAGTGACGTGGGAGGAGGTATTACCCACATGATGGTAACCTTGCATTTGATCTGAAATTATTAAATTTTGAAAAACTATTCCGCTAATGAAAGTTTTTGTTTCAATTTGCTCTAGCTTCCAGGAGAGGCTGTAATGAGACAAAAAACACTACTAGGTGCTTTTGATGAGAAAATAGATAAGTACAAAATTTATGACACCGAGTATTTCATCCAAGACTGGGGTCTCTGCACAAATCCTGAATGGCAACGCTGTGGGATCGCAACTCAACTTTTAAGCAAAATTCCTCTAATCGGCCAACATTACAAAGTTCCAGCTGCCTTGCTCATATTTACTTCAAAAAAATCTCAGAGTCTGGCTCTGAAAGCAGGTTTCAGAGAGTATGCCTCAGTGGCTTATGACGATATTAAAGACGAAACAGGCAAGGTTATACTACAGGTTCCTGGAAATGAGAGTGCTAAACTAATGGGTTTGAAGATATTTTGATAATAAAAGAGATTTTCGAAAAAAAAAAAACACAACTTGTTTCATTTACATTGTTCTCGCCGTCCTTTCTTCTTTTGAAATATACTTGGCAATTTTTTGAGCCAACCAGCCACAATTTGATTTCATGCTTGATGGAAGTAAATTTTTTGGAGAGATAATTTAATAGTGGTGTTGCAAAGAGGTTGCATTTGCATTATTATACCTACTCCTAAAATTAGCCGGATCTGAGTGGAAAGGCTTTCGTATATTTCATTGAAGTTATCGACAATTTCTCCAATTTTTCAATTTCACAAAAGGGCTTCTGCCAATTTGGTTTTAAAATTTGACGAACTATTCAAAGCTCTCTGTCACAGGTCTGGTGACATATTTTTATTTTAAATTTGCTTTATGAACGAATTTGGAAGTCCTAACTTCATTGAGCTATTTGGAAGGATAATGACTCATATTACGCATTTCTTTAAATTTCAGTGCATGTATTTAAAGTCAAATAGAAAGTAAGATATAAGCTACATTCACTCAGTTCTAAAAATAATTATGCCTAATTAGAGCTCACTGGCGGTACATATATTCTGGGCAATATTATTTTGACGAAATATAAAATACAAAAAAATGAGCAAAAATTAAAAATTGAGAGAGAAAATTAAGTAACAGTCATTGACAGTCTTCAGAACTTACATGGAACAATAAAATCAGGTCCCACGAATACAAAACTACATAGATCACAAATATAAATCTTAGCAACACTTACATACTACACATAAACAAATTTGAGGTAAAAACATTAATTATTTTGCGAGCTAATCACAAGTAGGAATTAAAACAAGGTATCCGAGTCAGTGAAACGAATCGTTTCATTGTCTCTCGTGCAGATTCTCACTGAACCGAGAAAAACAATTTTTTTAAAAAAAGAACAATTGTCACTTGGGATGGAAGGGTAAGTTAATTATCTAAATTTCTTTATTATTATTTTTATTGAGAATTTTCAAGATCTTGTACAATGGCGCTGATTGATTCACTTCAAAATTTAAAAAAAATAAATAAATACATGGGAGAAAAAAAAGTACCTGCTACTAACCTAGTATTTTCATTTCATTTTCACTTTAATGGCTGTTCAATGCAAATGGTAAAATTAACAAGAGAACGAGAGCATTTGAGATGGGGGAAGAAGGTAGGGAGAGAGAGAGAGAGAGAGAGTAGGGGAAGGGATAGAGAGAAAACTTTTCCAAAAAAAGTGAAGACGAAAGAAAATAAAGTGGCAAAAATATGATAAAGCTAGTAATATTCGGTTAATTCAAATACTTAATGTTAAATTAAAACTATCATCGGTAAAATACTTATGTCATTGATAAAAGTAACAAAAATTTCAGCGAGTAACCGTCTCACGTTATCACAAGAATGAAAAGGAGAATCAAAATTGGAATTTGGAGAGAAACGCTGAGGAAGAATTAGGTAGTCACTGAATGAGGTTCCTACAAATAATAGATGCAGGCTTTCAGTTTTGCTGGGAGAAGAGTTACACCTTTTACGAATCTCGATGATGTTAAAGGACAATCCTGCATCCTGTTTACGGTTTCAGCCCCACACGTGAGAAAAAGGGGGAAAATGGAATCATGGGCCCATTTTTTTGAGAAAAATAAAAATAACATGACAAAAAATTTAGTTCCAAGACAATAGGGGCGAACCAACGATAGCCACCCATCGCTAGAATTGATACATGAATTAGAGGTAATTATGGGTCGGCATTACAGAGGTAGTAGGTAATAGTAAAAATCACTTATCGCTATAGAATAATAATTGATACATGAATTATAACTAATTATTGGTCAGCATTACGGAGGTAATAGTACTGATAGATGATCACTTATCGCTAGAATTGATACATGAATTAGATGTAATTATGGGTCAGCATTACAGAGGAAGTACTACTTAATAGTTTGCAGCACCGTCTTCAGTGTTATTACTTATAAAAATAAAATTGGTTCAACATTGTCAACAAAACTTAGATCTTATGTTGAACTGATTAGCTTCTCTACAAACAACATTAAACTATGCCTTGCAAGATTTCTTATGCATTTTCCAATCAGATTTTTGACATTCAACTGAGCAGTATTTTACTGATTTGCATTTTGAACAATTCAATAAAGCTTGTTCACCAGCTGGACCATTTTCCTTTTTGTCACTGCCACACTTCTCACACCTATCGGCAAGTAGGGCCTGGAAATCAGGATTCGGTATTTCTGTCCCACATTTCTCAACATGCGGAGCAGAAAAAACAAGTGAAAGTGCAACCCGAGTTCCATAGTGGTTGAGTATATGGTCCAGGTTTGAGAAATTCTTCATTTCATCTTTAAGATAGCCTTCAGGAAACTTTCCAATACCACACGAGCAGATAGAAGACTTGCGATCATGGCGAAGCCCTTTGGAGAGCGGGGCCTCACCGGCTAGTACATATTCACAATCAGATCTATGTTCCCAAGTTCGACAGCGCTCAGCCATGACAGCCATCATTGACTTCCAAGCAATATTTTCAGTTTCTGTGACGCAAATGAGAAACGCGCCGTTATCCTTTATTTCTTTGAGAAATTTTGACACCAGAGGGTCTAATTTCACATCATTTGTGAGCTGAATTAATGCACAGTCAAGCACAGTGGTGTTCCTAGCCAAATCTAGGCGAAGACAAGATGGGAAAAAGAGGGTATGAACCCGCTTATCAGTTCTCAGTCCGAAATAGTTCGTTTTTTTGCCTCGATAACCTGAGTACACCATATGCAAAAGTAGCAGTCCTTGTTTGAGGATCATTCTCGAATTCCATCCTAAATTTAACTTGCGTCTTTGATGATCGCGAGCAGAAAACATTTCAGAGGCATGTTTGTGTATCCATGAGCCGTACTTTCCCACTGAGCCATCTATATGTACCGCTGGCATCACATCAAGATCGATGTACGGTGATGTCCATGGAACTGGTACCATGCCGCATGGAAACTTCATAAGAAGACATGGGAACATGCAGACCGGGGCATCCTCTACGAGCGGATTAAGAAGACTTGCTTCTACTTCGATATATGATGATTTCCTCGCAATTTTTAGTTTAGGGTTGAGAGCAGACATAGGAACCGGGAACTCGAGCTGAAAATCGAAATCTTTAGCAATACTGACGTTAGCAATCCATGGTGATTTAAACTTTATCTTTACCTCGGAGGATACATCTGCTAGTGCAGTCTTCGCAGCTTCTGACTCCAATGTGATACGTTTGACTAAGACATTCAACTTCAGACCATCGTCTGAAAAGTGTGCTACAGTTGCATCTGAAGTAGCCATATCCATTTGACTGCCGGTTGAAACAAAATTAGGAAGCTCAGGCATTCCTGGCATGAAGCGAGTGATAGAGACCCTACCACTGGTTAGTTGACTGAACGAGAAATGAAGACTTAGACCTAATATCTCAGCGAATTCGAGGAAGGTCGCAGAGGAATATTTCAATCCACACTCCACTAGAGGGGTGATTTTTTTGGATTTGCACAGTAAAGTTAGATATGAGGTTGGAACTAGCACTGACGCATACATATCTGATGAACCCGATAGCATGGCACTGTCCTCTTCGAAAAATGGATAAGAAATTCCCGCCTCAGTTTTTTGCTGCCGTTTTCCAAACATAATCTGAACACATGAGAAGGATTGGCGGTGTTCCTCGCCATGCTCATCCACGCCACAAATGTTAATCACTAAGGGGTGTGATGAAGAAGATTTTTCTAGCACAGCAAGATCCTTCCTAGGCACTCGCAGTGTCACACACACCTGATCTGGTAAATCTTTGCTCTGACGGGCAATCGAGACAAAAATAGTTTGATTTATGTCTTCAGGATTCGGCTTGGAGAAAAGGCTTCTATCAACTCCAAAAAGTTTCATGTTAAGGGCGAGTTCCTGCTTAAATTGAACTTTCGTTGAGAATCGGCCGTTAGCAGAATAAAGTCCGTCGTACATTTCTTTCAAACAAGCATCCCAATCTGAAATAACTCTGTTTTTAAGGACGCTCAGAAGAAATGCAAAACTTGCACGTGTGTAAGGTCGAAACATGAGTTTACAGGAATCTACCTTCCACTCTGCTTGATTGGAATAATCTGCCGGCAGTAGAAGTTCATCCGACTTGAACATTGAATTATGGATACGAATTAGAAGTTTGGCAAGTTCCTTTGCTTCTACTTGAATCGGTGGAGAGAATGGAGATGTGCGATATCCTCCTGACCTCTTCCAGCGAAGACGTGACCGAACTTGACGTACCAAAACAATGCGGTGATCATTACCTCCTTCTGCTCCGGTGTCACGATGATCTTCAACTGAGTTTGTGGCATTCGTGAAGAGATCGGGGAGAACAAGACCTAGCAACAGAGTCATGCAACGTACATCAACACCGAAAAGTGTGGATAGCCGATCTACAGGATTACGATCCAACATAAACAACATTTCAGTATAGAGGCTGCTTGATGCATTACATTTGAGCAGACTAGATCCTAAGGCAAGCAAGTTAAAAGGTCCCAACGAGTCGATGAGATTCGACGTATCAATGATATCAAAGCTTACTGGCGCAGCACTGGTTTCCAGACTATAGTCACCGTGATGAAGGATAATAGGGCTACTTGTCATGCTGTGAGAGAACAAATTGACGGATGTTGAGCGTGTCGCTTGATAACCAAGCAAGGTGAAGCAGAAAGCGAGGGCATCCCCTGAAAAAATACGGATTACTAACCCACCTGCCACGGATTTCCTGAATGCTGAAGCCCATTGTGTGAAATGTCCCTTGGCACAATTGACCAGACGCTCTGTTGATGATAGGCTCCTGCCATTGATGCGGAAAGGAGATTCTTTGCAGATCGAGGTGTAAGCATTGCTCAGAGGAATGCTGCCGAGAGATGACATGTTATGATACAAAGTGAGCTTATTGTTCGGCGAATAGAAAAAAGCTGGGTTCAAATGCGGGGATCTCAGAGCTGTTGAATTATTCCCCGGGACTGTGCCGTACTCCCACCACTGCTGAGACACTTTGCTAAGATCAGCATAAGCTTCATCTTGAGTGGCGGTAGGAAAAGTGGAACGGAAACCTGTCCCATCTGGGAGATTCGTATTCTTATTGGGTCGGTGGGCCTTGGTTCTTTTGAGGGCAGCCTCTAATTGGTTCAATCGACGCTTCTTTTCAGGTAAGGAAAGACCTTGTGACGTGAAGCCCAACCAATGACATCTAATGGAAGACAGAGACTTTTCATCGCAAAAACGGATGCTCGGGCCGTATGCTGAGTTTTGCCAATCATCTATTGATGAAGAAATTTGAAGAAGCTTTTGAGTTTGAGACTCCAGAAGTAGCAATGACTTTTCATCTATTTTCCAATGGTAGTAAATATTGTAAATCTGCTCAATGTTACAATTGGATTCATCGTCAATCAATAAGGTGTACAACAACACATTTCGAGCATGAATCAAGGGTTCGATGTCGCAGCAGGTCACGTCCATTTTCCGCTTGTTGTCAGAGAAACACGTGAAAAGAATATTTCTAGCATCACCGCAACCCAGAGAGAGGATATCGGCATTTTGCTCTGGCGGTAAATCTTGTGTTAAGCAAGATGGTGGCATGTTGTCGATTGGGTAGAAGAAGGATTTAGGATTGAGAATTGTGCTAACAATCATTCTGTAACAAGTCAGAAAAAAATTGAATTATGATGTGACTTTATGAATTGACGAATCGAATATTGAGAATGACAGAAAACTAGCTGCCAAATAAGATGTTTGATTGGGTTCTCCCTGGGAGGAGACGAAGGGGGCGCCCAGTAAAAGGATGGGGAGTTTTAAATGAAATATGGGAGTGTCAACTCTCTGAAGCACCGAGGGAGGATACTAGATAGGTACCATGGCGGTTAGGTGTCGCAAAGCGCCAGAGAGTGCTGTGAAAGCGGCTCTCGCGTATGTGAGAATGAACGCCTGAGGAAGGAACGAGAATAGCACACCGAATTAGGAAGCGATCAACATCTTCGTATTCTCAAATTTTTCGTGGAAAAGGTGAAAATCCAATGTCTTCTTTCACAGGCAATATAAAAGCACTAGGAAACGTGACACGAACTATATGTAACAAGGTGGTAAAATAGTGCTGGGTCCACACTATTAAGTGGGGAAAACAAGGCTAAAAATTTCAACTACAGTCAAAATGTTGTACTCTAATGAGTATCAGTGCAAGACTGAAAGGGGGAGATGTTCAACCCGGGCAGATGCGTTGAAATATTAGGCTGAAGTCACGCTGGGAGAACTATGACGCTTTGAGTAGTGTCGTCAGTGAGCCGAGTTTAAAAACATCCCTCAAAATCTAAGACGGAATCGATAAGCCGTCATGAATACGACGCGAGGCATGACAAAAGTGCGATCCTCGCGCCGCGCCGTCAGGGTGTCTACTAAAACAGGCTGGTCAAAAATAAGTTCTTTTACAGTAAATTCTTAAGAAATTCAGTACCTCCTTCGACAGAAAAATTCCGTACTTTTTCAGTACCTCCATTTGACGAAATCCGACAAATTTCAAAAATGTGAAATTGCAACAAAACTGACAAAAAATTTTAAAAATTCCGGATCTTCTTGCGGAATTTTCGCTCTTTTTTAGTACTTCTGGACCGCCCTTAAAAAATCAGTACTATTTCCGGACTTTCCGGCGCCCTTAAAAAATCAGTACTATTTCCGGACTTGCCGGCGCCCTTAAAAAATCAGTACTATTTCCGGACTTGTGAACACCCTGGCCGTCTACCGCCGCTGCTGAACAACTCTCAGGACAAAACAAGGAAAACCCGAGAAACAATATGATTAACAGGGGACTAGAGAGGCTAATAACGTCTCTTGACTCAACCGCCCGAGAACCCCTTTCGAACGGAGAAAGCGCGTATCCCTAAACTGTGCGTGTACAAACAAGAAAAAAAAACACTAAAAAACGTGGCCCGCACTATAAGTAACAAGGTGGTAAAATAGAGCAGGTTCCACACGACTCAGCGGGGAACATTGGGCCAAAAAGTTCAAAAATATCAGTTGAGTCAAAATTTGGAGCTCTAATGAGCACCAGCACGCAAGACTGAGGGGGACAGTGCTCAGCGCAGGCAGATGCATTGAAGTATTAAGTTGAGGCCACGCCGAAGGATCTTCAACACTTTCGGTCTGTTTAGACCTCATCAGGGGATCATACTCGTCCGTGAGCCCAGCTTAACATCCCGCAAAATCCAATGCGGCATCGAAATAGATCTCTCGTGGCCTCATCTAAATATTCCGATGCATATACTGTCTGCGCTGAACAAACACATACCCCCTCCCACACACACACCCTCACCCTCCCCCCCGGTGTTGTGCTGGTACTCATTTTTGTGTAGTCCTTTGCGTTCTTAATCGTCCGCCGGTATTTGCGCTTGTGTCGCTGTATGACGTGAATGTGCGTAATTTTTAATGATTTTACGAAACCGCTGGAGAGATCGCGTATTTGCCGCGATATTGCGGAGATTAGCCGCGTAATTTCTCTTTTATTGTTCGAAATCGCAGAAAAAATCACGCGTTCTGGGCGACATTGAGTTGTTAGGCGAGTCAAATTCTTAACGATTGTTAAGGATTTGACGCATCCACTGGAAAAATCGCACATAGCTCGCGATACTGAAATGAATTGCGCGTAATTTCTCACTTAGGAGCGAGCGGAAACCAAGCTAGTAACTATTCGAACTCCGAAATAGGTGTGTGGTAACACGCGAAATTGAAGGAAAATCATAGCTCTTTACCTACCACACATTACGGACATTCTGAAGCCTACGCTCGAATCGATATAAAACTCATGAATTTTCCGCGATATTGAGGTGAAAATTGTGTGGTTCTTTACGTTCTTAGTCATTCGTCTGAAAATTTGCTTTTGAGTCGCGATATAAAAAAAATGCGCTTGATTTTAATTGGTTTTTCAAAACCGATGGAGAAATCGCGTATTTGCCGCGATACTGAGATGAATTGCGCGCATTTTCTCATTTTCGAACAAGCGGAAACGAAGCTAGTGTAAGGAGGGTGTTTTTTTTGGTTGTTGATAAAGGAGGAACTATGAGGGCTTCAATGACACATGTTTATTTATACTATTTCAATTATTGGCTTCACATACACATATATATGAACAGGTCTAAGGTTGGAGAGTGGGCTATGAGATGGGGAGGGGGGGGGGTTCGGGTCTGAGCCGAGTTTGGTGTACGCGTCCGGGGCGTGATTGTAGTGCGGGTCTGAGCCGCGGAGGTTCGGGCCTTAGCCCTGGTGCTTACGGGACGGGCCGATGACTGGGACTGGTTGGTCTTCTACAAATCTTGATCAAATACTGGTGCCCGGCCTATGCCCCGGCCACTATTTATAGTCGATCGCCGACTCCCCACCAGGCTGGTTTGCAGCTTTGAGATAGGGAACCGAGCGATCGAACTGCAACTAGCGGCCGAAGTCGGAATTGCGTCGAGCGGGCGCGTCAGCACGCCACGCGCACTGCTGAGTGCGAGTGCCGCGCCGCCACACCTTACGCACCTAACAAAATTGCGAAGCAATTTCAAAAGGCCGAACAACCAGGCAAGATGGTGGGTGAAAAAATGGGCGCTAACTATGGAAGCTGCCACGTGAACATTTGACGGGGGTGCTAATGATGGGGGTGGGGGGGGGGGGCTCTTATAGCATGATTCTAGCGAACTCATGGGCGCTGAATAGCGGCCGGCATGAGTAAGAGGCGCTAAAGGGTGGCTGCCTCATAAGAGAAAATTATGGTATGTCTTAGACTAGTTGGGCGCTCATTGGTAGCTGCCTCAGGAAAAAAAATTACATTCTATCTTAAATTAGACGGGCGCTTAGTGGTAGCTGCCTCAGGAAAAAAATTATATTCTATCTTAAATTAGAAGGGCGCTGAGTGATAGCTGCCACATGAGGAAAAATTACGGTGTATCTTAGGTTAGTTGGGTGCTTAATGGTAGCTGCCTCGGAAAAAATTACAGTCTATCCTGAATTAGGAGGGCGCTTAGTGATAGCTGCCACACAAAGAAAAAATTACGGTGCATCTTGAATTAGTTGGGCGCTTAATGGTAGCTGCCTCAGAAAAAATTACATTCTATCTTAAAGTAGGAGGGCGCTTAGTGATAGCTGCCACATAAAGAAGAAAAAATTACGTCGCATCTTAAACTAGGTGGGCGCTGAAAAGCAGCCGGCAAGTGTGAGGGGCACTGAGGATCTGCCTCACATGTATTTAAGGTATAAAATAAATGAAAAAAAGGCGCACTTTAGGAAGTTGAGGAGCAGTGTTTTGTGGCTGTTTCCGGGAGCTGAGGTCCAGTCGTATTCAAGTGAGGTCAGGAGGGCGTCTAGTTTGCGGTTGATAGCGATCTCGATAGAGAGAATGATGCGATGTTCGGCTAGGATGAGTCTAGGGCCTCTTGAGAAAATGCGATATTTTGACGGTCTTGAAAGCAGAAGTGTGCCACGCGCTTGTGGCCGTAAGGAGATTTGTATGATGGCAGCAGGCAGGTCCAGAGTGTCTGCGGGAGCATATGAGTGCTGGGGCTCTTCGAGAGTATTGCTGTGAGGCTGGAAGCCACATCATATTCATTGACCAAAGTGTATGCACTGGCAACGAATGTGTGTTATAGGAGAGCCTTTGGTTTGGCGGGAAAAATAGTCAGGAAGGGGGGGGGGGTGTATGCTCGGGCGTCGGGATATGAAGCTTAGGATGAGTGGACTGGAGACGGCTGCGCTGCAGTGAGTGCTTGTGCCGCTGTGGCCGTAAATCTTGGCGAAGAGGCTGGTGATTTTTTGGGGCGTAGTTGCTAAGTTTCGTAGTGCTAAGTCTTAAGTCTAAGCCGTATATTATATGTCCTTAAGTATTCTTAAATTATGTACATTTTGTGACATAGCATGTGGGCTATATTCAATACTTAGTGGGCTGGTTCAAGTTCAGTTTGCTCGTCCTCAGATTCTGACGGCGCATCTGTGTCATAGAGGCTTGAATGCAGGATATCGTCCGGCTCCTTGTGCTCGCTGAATGTTTTGTAATAGCGAAGCAAGTAGAGCTTTCCTCGTGGTTGGGCTCTTGTTGTAGTTGACGGGATTTGAGGAAGTTGTTGCCGTAGTTCATGTGTGATACTGTTCTTCTTTGTCCTTGTTTCCGGGTCATCCATATTCTTCTTTAGTATTAGCTCAGGATGGCTGTCTGCTTTTATTCCGAAGTGTGAGTCCGTGATGTAGCTGACTTCTTGTGCCATGTTGTCGTTTTTAAGGTTGAGAAAAAGAGGGGGGGAAAAAATAGAAAAAAAAAGGGGGGGCGCTACGTTACCGCTGAGCGGGAGCTGCCCCGTTGCAAAAGCAAAAAAAAAATGTAGCTCAATACGCTGTGACAATAGCGGAGCTGTTTAGTTATCAGTGCTCTTAACGGCTGCGACAATAGCCAGGGGTAACGCCGTGACAATGGCGCGAGCTACTGAGAGCGGATTTGCGCTATGACAAAAGCGCTACGCTCTAAGGAAAAAAAAATGATAAAAAAAAAATTATGTTTCTTAGCTCTGTACGCCGTGACAATGGCGGAGCTGCTGAGGTATCGGTCGCTCTTAACGGCCGTGACAATGGCCAGGGGTAACGCCTTGACAATGGCGCGAGCAGACCGAGAGCGGATATGCGCTATGACAGGAGCGCGACGCTCTAAGAAAAAAAATGGGGGGCAAAAGCAGGAAAAAAAAAAATTTAGCTCTGATACGCCGTGACAATGGCGGAGCTGCTGAGGTATCGGCCGCTCTTAACGGCCGTGACAATGGCCAGGGGTAACGCCTTGACAATGGCGCGAGCAGACCGAGAGCGGATATGCTCTATGACAGGAGCGCGACGCTCTAGTTAAAAAAAAGAAGCAATCAACCTTAAAAAAGAACTTTCAATTTTGGCACTGGTGCTGGATCCTTCAAGATGACTTGGTGCTGGGGGGTAGAGCCTGGTAGAGATGTTGTTGTGTGGTCCGGGATCGTTGCGCCTCCACCAATGTAAGGAGGGTGTTTTTTTTGGTTGTTGATAAAGGAAGAACTATGAGGGGTACACTGACACATATTTATTTATACTATTTCAATTATTGGCTTCACATACACATATATATGAACAGGTCTAAGGTTGGAGAGTGGGCTATGAGATGGGGAGGGGGGGGGGGTCGGGTCTGAGCCGAGTTTGGTGTACGCGTCCGGGGCGTGATTGTAGTGCGGGTCTGAGCCGCGGAGGTTCGGGCCTTAGCCCTGGTGCTTACGGGACGGGCCGATGACTGGGACTGGTTGGTCTTCTACAAATCTTGATCAAATACTGGTGCCCGGCCTATGCCCCGGCTACTATTTATAGTCGATCGCCGACTCCCCACCAGGCTGGTTTGCAGCTTTGAGATAGGGAACCGAGCGATCGAACTGCAACTAGCGGCCGAAGTCGGAATTGCGTCGAGCGGGCGCGTCAGCACGCCACGCGCACTGCTGAGTGCGAGTGCCGCGCCGCCACACTAGCAACTATTCGAACTCCAGAGTAGTCATGTGGTATCACGTAAAATTGAAGGAAAATCATGGCTCTTTACCTACCACACATCACGGACATTCTGAAGCCTACGCTCGAATCGATATAAAACTCACGATTTTCTGCGAAATTGAATTGACAAATTTTAAGCTCTAAATTTTGACCCTAAATGAAATTTTTGAACTTTTGGCCTTACTTCCCCCGCAAAAAAGTGTGAACTCCGCAATATTTTACCGCCTCGTTGCTTACACAAACAGAAATCTAGGGGTACAATAAATTAATATAATTGAAAATAGTTTTCTAAATGTGTATTTTCTGCCGGGCTTAAAAAGAAAAAGAAAGGATAATATATGTTTTTAAAACAAATGATAGATTAATAAGTACTTATATGCAAGTATTTGAGTGTAAATTGCTTTCTTACAATACAACAAATTCTAAGGGCTTGAAAACTTTTCATTTCGTTCCCGCCTGGCTAGAGGTCACTTTCACTTCTATGTTTTTCTTTGAAAAGTGGATTTTGGTGGGTTTCGAGTCCGTTCGAGATCCCCGGAACCATTGAGATAAATGCAAATGACCTTAATTTCTCACTTCCGTTTTTAGTTGTTCAGATGTTAACGCGAAAGTGGTGATAAATTCTAATTTGTACAACTTATCTCAATGTCAAAATCAAAAATTTTATCTGCATGCGAGTAAAAGTTACTGGACTTCCGCATCGACTTTCATCAAAAACACCAAGATTACAATTGAGGTCACTCGCCTCCATAAAATCGCACCAAACCATAATGCTATTCCAGCTATTCCAACACCTGAACCGCTCAAATAGCATCCATCAAGTTGAAGGCCAACTTGATTTTTCGATCCCGTTTTCAAGTAATTAGACATTAGCGAGAGATCGGTGCTACATTCTAACTTTTGCAGCCTATCTCGATGTCAACATCAAAATATTTTTTTGTGGAGAGAAACGAGTGAAAGTTGCTGAACTTTTCGCAACGTGTTTATTAAAAAAACACCAAGATAACAAAAAATACGCGACATTCGTATCGATGCGAGCTTAGTATTTATGAACGTCCGTAACTTGAGGTGGGCTAAAAACTAAGACTTTCCTTCAATTCCGCGTGATACCACAAACCTACTCCGGAGTTCGAATAGTTGCTCACATGGATTCCACGTCTTAAAAAGTGAGACATTACGCAAATTTCATCTCAATATCGCGTGCTTCACGCGACATCTCCTCCGAATTCATCGAATCCTCAAGAATTACAAGCTATCCATCCATCTTGGTATCGCTGTAAATACGCTATTTTTCCAGTGATTTCACATAAAAAAAATTCGGAAAATACGCGATAATCGCAGCGATGTCGCTGCAAATATAAGCTAATTTGTAGAGTCATTAAAAATTATGCGTAGTTTATTTTAAATATCGCCACGAAATCGCAAATTTTTCAGCGGTTGATTTATACAGCTGAAACATTTGAGATTTCGTCACGATATTTATAAACTACGCATACTTTTTAATGACTCTACAAATAATCAAAAAAATGTTCACCTCATCGCGAAAATTACACGACTTTCGTAACGATGCGAGCTAACTATTCATAAACGTCCGTAACTTGAGGTAAGTTGAAAGGTAAGATTTTCCTTCAATTCCGCGGGATACCACAAACCTACTCCGGAGTTCGAATAGTTGCTCACTTGGATTCCACCTCTTAAAAAGTGAGACATTACTCTTTCATCTCAATATCGCGCGAAGCACGCGATATCTCCTCCAAATTCACCGAATCCTCAAGAATTACAAGCTATCCATCCATCTCGGTGTCGCTGTAAATACGCTATTTTTCCAGTGATTTCACATGAAAATTCAGAAATACACGATAATCGTAGCGATGTCGCTGCAAATGTAAGCTGATTTGTATAGTCATTAAAAATTATGCGTAGTTTATTTTAAATATCGCGACGAAAGATATTTAAAATAAACTACGCATAATTTTTAATGACTCTACAAATAATCAAAACGCGACTTTCGTACCGATGCAAGCTAACTATTCATGAAAGTCCGTAACTTGAGGCAAGTTGAAAAGTAAGATTTTCCTTCAATTCCGCGGGATACCACAAACCTACTCCGGAGTTCGAATAGTTGCTCGCTTGGATTCCACCTCTTTTAAAAGTGAGAAGGTACGCGAATGTCATCTCATTACCGTGAGAAGTACGCGATAACTCCTTCAAATTCACCGAATCGTCAGAAATTAAGAGAATTCCATCTCGGTATCACTGTAAATACGCTATTTTTCCGGTAATTTTACATACAAATTCAGAAAATACGAGTTAATTGAAGCTATATCGTGGCAAGGAGGCTACTTTGTGAAGTAATTTAGTTATAAAGTCAAAATTGTGTCAAAATTTTCAAAATCGGATATAAAGTCAAGAAATAAACAGGTACTAGTCTTTTGTAAAGGATTGCAGGCTCTAATTCATTTTTGTCTGGGCTGGCTGCTACCAAGTTCATGTAAAACAAGCAACTCAAGAGCAAATGAAGATCTGAAGGTTCAAAATAGACAGGTAGCTTCAAAATTTCATGAACCACAATCAACTTAACTGTTTTTTGTTCAGATAGCAACAATATCCGAAATGGAAAAAATGACAAAACTAGGCCGAACCATGAAATTGGAAAATCGAATTATGACAAGGCTAAATTAAGCCAATATAAAAACATAGAATAGATATTCTTGTTAAAGGTATTATTTGACACATATCAGCTTGAACAGTATCACTTTAACTATTGCTGTTCCGGAGGTAATGATTTTCAAAGTTCTTTAAAAATGGGAACTTCGCCTCTTTACCTCCTTCCCCTCGTTCTTAAAGGGGACTAAAGTTTACTTAAGCATAGGAGGCACTTGGTGAAGTAACCGAGTACCTAATTTAGTTCTCAACCAAAGAGAGCCAAAAATCGTCGATTAAGAATCCTACTCTTCATAGTGACAATATTACAGCACCCGATTGCGATGGATTGTCATAAAGTTCCAGGCAAAATTCTTTAAGAGAAGTAGTAATGAATAGTAGGTAAAGTAGTAATATGGATTGAAGCTTTTTGACACCTAACGGCAATGTTAATTAATTTTGAAACGTCATTTTGCGGTATTTCCAGGGGTACATTCATTCATTATTTTACTGGCATCATTAGAGACATTGTGAGATGAAAAAAAAGAACACAATTACACGTACACACAACTTGAAGGCTCGAGGTGAAAGAAGTGATAAAACGTTGTTCAAATGGTATTTTTCTGAAAATATGGTGGAATATTGTGAGGCGTTATTGACTGCTGCTAGAATGCCATTGTGACAAGGTGCTACAAGATGTCATGTACCTAACTATGATGCTACCTTGACAATAATGCGGCAATTTTGCTGCAACCTTTCATAGCCAAGCAAGCAATTATTAAACCGGTGCTGAGGTTTCAAATATTTTTAAAGGAATAACTACACAGGGGTATCTCATGAAAAATATGGCATGCTCCCACAAATTTGGCAAAATTATATAACATTTTCTGGGATAGACTGGATGGCCCTGACCTTCCGTGATCAAAAATTGTTCAACCATGAACATCAGGGGCTGGCAACTTGGCAAATCACCAAAACTGCTGGTAATAACAGGGATACTTGAACAACCATTTCTAACTAGGGCTGGATTTAAAATTTTGCTGTCAAAGATGAAAAAAAATTTGCCGCTTTCTAATTTCAAGGGTCACATGACCCAGTGCTCATGGGTTGTAACCCAGTGCTTCCACCCTTGAAGCTCTCCTGTTTCCAAACACTAAAAATTTCGAAGTGAGTGAGAGTGTGAGGAGAAAAATTAGAGGCACTTGATTTATTCAATCTTAGATAGCCTTCACAGCTACGTGAATTGTTCAGTTTTTGCACCAAAACCAATTACTAGCGTGTAAACTCCCTCTGAAAATCCAGATGCAGTTAGGTTGGGTTAGATAAGTTAACTAATTTCATCAATGGCAGTGATTAAATTCTGGCTAAAACACCAGATTGGTTTCGAGCTTAAATAGGAATCTTGCAGCTGAAAATTAACTTTAATTGGAGGCAAACTCACTTGGCTGATGAGTCTTCTAGAGGTCTAATTCCAGTACAATTAAAGCTTCCTTGATATATGCTCACTTTCTGCAGCAGAATAGGTATCTTTCTTCGTTTTTCATTGGATCAGGCTCCGATACGAATGGGCCAAAACTGCAGGTATAACCTATGGTCAAAAGCACAGTTGACATCAAGATTGGATAAAAAATTGACACACTTTGTATTGCAGTAAAAAGGAAACAGCATGAATATTTACTTACGAATCCCTCGCATAAAGAAAAAAAATTGCAAGTTGCCTGTAATTGAGTGCTGTTAAAGTAATAATGACCGCTTTACAATGATGGTAATTATAGGAGATTCATAGAAATTAAATTTCAACCCTCTCTGGTCATATATAATCCAGATGGCGATGTTCATTTTTCCCTCTCATCAGGCTTGAGTGATGCCTTAGAGGTGCAAAAGTAATTACATATGTTTTGATTGAGAATATACCTATGTAAAGGAAGTACATGTGTTTTGACAGAATATCTAGGTACTTGCAGGGTACAAAAGGTCATAGTGAAAATATGGAAAAGTTTGTGGCAAGAATTGAATACCTACCCTCATCAAGGGCATCAAGGATAAACCAAGATATGTTGACGCTCTGCTTGACCAAGTGTCCACCATAGCTTTGGATAAAACTACAGCAGAGAGGAGTCATTACAAGTGAGTTCAACATGAGGGAGGAGACTAGGCTATCAAAGGATCCGTTTGCCCGATGAAATTATTAGGTATCTTCCTGAAGTGAATTCTGAGAGGGGCCTAAGTAACAGCGAGGGAGGGGGGCAATAGCCGGGCAACTACCTATGTGGTACCTAATGAATCATCTTTTCCTGGCCGATTTTGGTGTAAGACGAATATCGATGGCCAAAGTACAAAACCAAATGAGTACCTACATTAGCAAACCTGCAGACTTCCCGTCAAACTTTAGTTTTCCTGTAAAATTCTTGAAATTTCCCAGAATTTTCCTCTCTGTTTGCAGAATAGGTGCTCAGTAAACCTTTCAAGCTAGGATGTTGGCTAGTACTTAGCTATTCAAAAAAATAAAATGGGAGTGGAACTTAGAAACACTACTTACCATTGAGATACATGGTTTTGCACTTTGCTCAACAGAACTCTGAAACTGATCTTGGACAGTTCAAGTGTGAAACTGTTTCCAGGCTCATCATCCCCCATCAATATGGCTGTTACTCCAGCTACCCCAACCCGGGAGTGTCTAGACTCCCAGAATACTCCATTGAATGACAGAATATTGCTTACACAGATTCCTCTGGCAAATATGGTTCATAAAATGAAATACGTTGGAGTGCAACGGTGCGTTGGTGTACGTTGGTTATACGTGGAATACTGAAATCAATAGGCACAGGTCCAGTTTCAACTGGAGAAAGGACGGTGGAAACATCAAACTCTGGCGAAGTAAGTAAATATCATACCTCCATGGAAATGTATTCGATTGAGAGGTGCTTAGCACCTTCCTCCACCAATGATGAGGCTAATCTTTCATGATGGTCATTACTTACAATGATCATCCACATTAACCTACGCACCTACTTTACTTACTTTACTAAGTAACAGTGACTCACCTGATTATCTTAGATGATTATTTATCCGAGGAGAGCTCCTTTTAAACTCACACGATGAAAACGGTAGTTATGATCAAACCTGGGCGATTAAACAACGACGAATCTGCATATTAACTAGAAATAATCGAGAATCAAAGGCGAAAAAGTGTGTTCGGTATTGAAGTGCCGCAACTCAAAACACGTGCAAACTTGCTGCAGAGGAATGCGAGGCAGGTTAGAAGGGAGGGAGACGGAAAGAGGAGAGAGAGGAGAGAGACAATAGGCATAGAATTTCACACCCACACCCTACTCGGTGGTTGGTAAGATTGCTAAATTGTGTGATAATATGTCTATATTTTGCTTATGAGTTGCATACAAAAACAAATACTTTAGTGTAGTTTGGCAACCACGACGGTGGCTCAGGAGCCATGCGTACTGTGCCTGGTTTACGCGCGAAAACACAATGGCGCCAATTTCAAAATGACGGACCTGTATAACTTGTGCGACGGTCTAGCCCGACAATGTTGAACTACTGTATAAACGTGCGAGAGTTGTAATTTAAATAAGCGTTTCATAATTACCAATCAGTTCCGTGCCATCAATGTTTATTTATTTTCTTTATTGCTATCAATATTTTATTTTTATTTTTAAAACTGGTTTGTGAAACGACCGAAGCAGTTTACTCAGAGTTGTGCAGAATAGGACTACTTGGAAAAAAAAATAAAAAAATAAAGAATCAGTGGAAATTCGGAGGAAGAGATCGAGCTAAATATAAAGTGGTGAAACTGCGATTAAAATGTCTAAAATGTTATTGTATACAGTCCCTTGAGCTTTTCATACATATTGGGCATTTTCCGTATAGGATGAATCTGGGTCCCTCTCAAGAAGAGACTTCGAGAGTGAAATTTCCTTATTTTTTCGTTTTATAAGGTACTAAATCATCTGTGCTAGAAGATTGGAGCATGTAAGAAAAAGATCCTTTGAGATTTTTTTTGGTAAGTACTCCCCCTTTTTGAATCAGTTTGTTAGGAATCTCACAGCCTTAGTTGCCATACCAAAATGTCGTTTCAAGTTTCAATCCATCCACGCCATCGTACCTGCTACGGTAAAAACGCAGCATCTATTTGCTTAAAATTGGGTTGATTCTTGTAGAATCGCTATCGAATGAGTTTGTTCGAACTCTCTATCTTTACAATGGTATATATCGATCAAGGTCATTCGATAACGATTCAACAACCGACTCGCCAAGCCTGACACAGCCTGGTTTCGCTCCTTTGGGACTGGGATAAAGGCCGTGGTTGAAAAAATATAGGTTTGAACAAATCATGTCTCATACAACATTATCTGAGTGCTCAAATGAGAAATGTACCTAAGAAAGTCATAGGCTGATTTTGCCACTTCAAACCGGGGTGGGGGGGGGGGGTGATTTTTTTCTTGATCCTTTGGAATTCTTTGGTGGGAATTGAGTACCTTTCAAGTCAAAGGTCGCTCCTAGGGGCCTCTCTCAGAAAGTTGTCAACATTTTACTTACCGAATCCAAAAAGCATTCTGAATAAAAAAATGCGAAACTTGCGAAATAAGAGCGTTCCTTTTTTCCTTTCCTTCCTTTTACATCCACCTCCTTTTTTTCGGGCAAACCGGGGGGGGGGGGGGGGGGCGATTACGCCTCTACCCTTAGATCCTCCAATGAAGAAGGTGAATCAAAATGTAAGCCAATTTCGGTCCAACAAAAACTGCGATTAAACGATAACGTTTCGAAGGTTTAAATGATGAAAAATCATCCGAGTAAAGCGTAACGCATAACGTTTGAGGCACGAAGCGGTCAGTTCCCCAATGTCTGTTATAAACTACTACAGAATTATAACATAGGAAAATTTACTTTTTGATCTTATGATTATGCATATGCTTCGTGCATTTAAATAGCCCGCGCATATCTCAGTGATTTTCATTGGTTACTTTCGAAACGTCATCCTTTGTTGTTTGTTTACTTGTCGTTGCCCTCGTCGAGTTTCTAACCTCAAAAGTTATGCAAGATGTGAAAACGAAAAGCGATTTCTTCTACGAAACTTACTGTTGGGAAGTGTTATTTTAATTCCGAACACTGTGTTACTTGTGAAATGGAATGATCTAATTACGGAGTGTATAAAATAGTGTTCAGTGTTTATGAGTGAAGGGACGAGCCCATGAATCCACGTTCCAGAGAGGAAGGAAAGTCTTATCAACGTGAACGTGTTCTCCCGTAATCGTGACAATACACGTGTTACATACTGTTCATCAAAAGGATTTCAGCCCCATCTTTTAAAATTTAATATTGACCATTCACTTTTAGATCAATATCTTCAGTCTATCTCACCATGAGTGGGAAGAAGAAAACGAATCTTGGTCGGGCGCTCATAAAGGATAGGTTCCGCAACACTCAAGGCAAGAAGAAAGTTGAGACGTCAATGGTGAGTTTTCGTTCATAATTGAAAATTGGCCCAGCAGCTCATTAATTTTGAAACCAACTAAACTTTTTACGGGATAGAGAATTATTCGGCATCTTGCAGTCTAGTCAATAGCCGACTTGACATTGTATGTTCATTGCATCTTCTCACCAGGACCTTCCTGCGGCCCGATTATTGAAGCTATGTCAGCCCGACAAGACAAAACATTGTCCTATCTCAGCCATGCCGTATATCGCAATTCAATGTGTTATCCGGCTGGTTTAAATTTTAATCATCGGCCTGTTGGTCTGTCAGCATTTTGCTTTGCTACCAGGAGCAGTAATAAACTCGTTAGTTAATTGTCAATAATTGTTATCAGAACCTCCATTTAGACTTATGGAAGTCTTAAGGAACTATATCTATCGGTCCTAACATGAGCCCTAGGATCCTCAAGAATACATGCATCACATGACTCATGCCGCATTGGATATTGTTCTTTTTTATTTTACTACGTCCATTTGTGCTCGAGGTGGTTTCTTGAAAGACATTCCTTACTTGTCTGCGTGTGCTCATTTTCGCAAGCGCGCTGCTTGCGCATGCTGTAGTGCTCCCTATACAGGCACCACCTATGTTTTCTGACCAATAAAATTGCCCCTGTTGATAGACCTGTCTCACAGAAGCCTCCTTAGTTTTAATTCTGAAGATTCTTGTCAGTTTTTACACATGAATTCCAGTTTACATTTTACTTAAACTGAATGCAGGGAAATAACTTTTAATGTTGGTAGATAGATCTAACAGCTGTTTTGCTGTGTTCACTCAGTACGATTTGGATATCAATATCCTTATGCTCAGAAATTGCCAGATATTACACACTACCACACAGAATGATATTTCCTCTCTTATCGTTGGTAATTTTGTTTGACGTTTTTTGCCGAAGAATTGGAACTTATGTTTTGAAGAGCAAGTATAAAATTAATATAATGGAAGTGCGCCAAGCTGGAGGCAGTGGCTAGTTGCCACTTTCTGCTTTTCATGATTGGTAACAGAATAAAAGCTTAAAAATTATCCATTCTACTGTAATTTGGAAATAATCAACTCTTCAAAGAGTGTAAGCAAAATAGTTTCCAGTTGCATTTTGACAGGGAAAGTTGATGAATGCATATGTCTATTACTTACTGCAATCATGTTAATTTCCAATTATTTTTTATTTTCCCGAAGAATATTATCCACATTATCTCTTCAGTATTTTTGCTGTAGCTGAGTACTTGAATATCATTTAATGAGTGAGGAAAATTCACAATTTTTTTTAAGAAAGACTGTTGGTTAGTTTCCTTTTGGAAAAATTAAATATGCACTGAGGTTTGCAACACTGCAATCAAACCTATGCCTTTTTTACTGATGTCACTAATTTGCAATCATCATAAGTAGTAGTAGTGTACCTAGGTACAGGAAAAGTCAGCATGATCTTTTAAAATTTTTTATGGATCATTCATATAGGTAAATCAGAATGCTTTCTGAAAGAAAAAAGAGTAGAAAAAAAAAATTATTCGATTCTCAGATATAACTGAGCCGCGTATTTTTAAAGGTGGTAATAGTCTAAAGGCTTTTACTTATTTTCCACAGTTGCATTCTGCGGATGTAGAAGATGGCATTGATTGGGCAAGATTGAACCTCAAATCAGTCACAGAAGAAAGTTCATTCGATGCGTTCTTTTCCATCGCTGAGCTAGCTGGCACCGAATTTATGGTAAGTTACGTCTAAATTTTTCTTGACTATTCCCTTCTCAATGTTAATTTTTCCTTCTTTGAATGAAAGCGAATCAGTTGGATTGACTAGCTGGCATTCCTGAAACTGGAACCAGCACGTACTCTATCAGAAATTTTCTTGGCACAATTACAGACAATTAGTGGGTATTTAGTTTTTAAAAACACAGCTTTAGAAACAGGAAAGTAACATAATCGACATGTTAAAACCTAACTCACTTCTCAAATAAGTAGGTAAATATTAACAATTATTTTAGAAGTGAGTTAATTTTTTAACTGATAAATATGTGTGTTTTAAGATAAATCCATCGCTGGAGTAAGCAAACATCGAGACGTTGAATGGATTTTGCTAAAATACTGGTGGTTGCACTTGGAATTTTCGGTAAAAAACAGATGTATTATATCCAAAAGTACATTTCAGCTCTTTCTTTCAAATAGTCTATTTTGTAAACCTTAAAATAATTCTGAAAGTATGCGAACGCAAAATTTAACAAATCCATTCAACTAATTGAGTGTAATATTTTGTGTTTTTATCCTTTCAGCTTTATTTTAGGGTTTACAAAATGCATGTTTAAGATTAAACAGCTAAAACTTGTCTTATGGCGTAATTGATCCATTTTTGCCAAAAATTTTAAGTGAAACCAATGATTCAGAAAAATTTGTTGGGCATCTCAATATTTTTTTGTTGCCAGTGTAGATTTACCTCAGACTAGGAATTTAGTTGTTTGTATAAGACGGAATGTAAGAAAGCTAAACTATTTTCACTTACTAATCTTGTCTCCTTCTCCTTTTGCCTCTCTTGCTACCGAAATGAAAGGTTTTCATCAGAGCATCGGTCTTTGAATCTGCCTCAGTCAGTAGAGACAGATGAGGAATGGTAGTGATTGAAGGGACAAACCAGAAAAATGTCTGGCAGTAACACAAAAAAATATACCTAATTTAATTTTTCTAGAAAAAAATAGCATGCCAAGTAATAATTTTTAACAATAGTAGACATGTCTCTTATAGATTATTTCACATCAGATTACGAACTGGCTCTCAAAAATAACTGTATCCTACCATCTCCTTCTAGACTTATTTAGACTCAGTGAATTAGAGTGCCCTATTTTCCGTGTCCTATGGAAGTAGGAACTTTCTTTAACTTATTGCTACTTTTTTTCATAGGACTGCTTAACTTTCTGTTCAGATACATTTCGTTCACCTATCTTTTTCAGGCAGAGCGGTTGAATGTCAATTTTGTGAATCCCAAAAGTAATGTTGGATTATTAACTCGGAAAGAACAAGAAAAACTCTCTGAAAACCACAGAGAAAAGAAGAAATGTTTGAAGATTCCAAGGAGGTAACTTATCTAATTTTTTATATCTTGTAAAAACTTCACAATCCCAGACCAGTAGGGAAGTGTGATTGACCGATTATCGATATTTCCCCATTTGAAGCTATGATAAAGAATCGATTTTTACCTAAGGTGTTTGTTACCAACACCCTGTCTATCGATACTCTTCCATAGGTTTAGATGGCAGATCAATTGATATATCGTAAAGCATGCCATGCCACTGTCCCAGACCTATTGTCTAGTATTCTATTTGAACTTCATTTTGTTATGCTAAGGAGCAATCTACTGCCAACTGTTACATGGTGCAGCGTTTTCATACATCATAAGACCCCCAGGACAACTCTGCCTATTTTCATTAAAGCAAGGGTGGTAATGGACTTCTTGCATGTTTGAGGGATTAATGATTTAGGTAATTTTTCTGATGTAAAATTTCACCAGAAACATGGTAGTGCCATTGGGATCTCTGAAATCAACTCCCAAGCTCTAAAAAAGCTCTTGATGTTCAGACTGTAATGGAGGGGATATCTCAGACTATTTGAGACTCCACCTTTATGTGTGGTCGAACTCTTCATGGACAGATAAAGATCAATTACATCAGCAGGGTTGCCATGGTTCCAGTCGTGGAGTCCCCAAACAAAATGGCAAACCCTGTTAATGTACTTACTCCCTAACTGTGCATGGAGAGTTTGACCAGTTATAGAGGTGGACTCTCACTGGGCATGAGATATCTCTTCTAATATGACCTCATCTTCGAAAGTTTTTTTTGAGCTTAGGAGTTGATTTTTGAGAGAACCAGTGGCACCATCAAGTTTTCTGCTAAATTTTACAGAAGGGAAAGCATTTAAATTGCAAATCTCCGATACATGCAGAAACCCCATTGTAATTATGGCATAGGTATGAAGAGCAAAAAACAGTGTCTAGATGGTATCCTGTCTGTCAAAAACAAGATGGCCTTCCTGGAAATAAGCATTGATTAAAATAATCAGTGCATCTTTCCTAAAGTTGAGGAATTTCGTCGTGTAACTGCCCCCAACTTCATGGCCCGTTTCCACCCATTTAAATCAATAAAATTTTTGCTAGAAACTTGAATATGCTCGCTTGATCTCTAAAAATTCATTCCTTGAATTCAAATATTTTTTTGCTATGTTCGTTTGAGAAAGAGAGCTAATTTAAGATAGGCTGTCATTCGCTTTCAGATTTACCCAAATAAAGATACATTGTATGTTCCTACTTGGTACAGGCGAATGGTAGGATATTATTTATTTGTGTATGTCTTTGTATTTCAAAAGGCCCATTAAATTTTGAATTATTGTCAGTATTATTGACCTTGTATTTTAATTTTGACAATCAGGCCAAAATGGGATGCCTCAACAACAGCTGAAGAACTGCAGACGAAAGAGAGGCAGGAGTTCCTGGAGTGGAGAAGAAACTTATCATCACTGCAAGAGGATGAAGGACTCCTTTTAACTCCATATGAAAAAAATCTTGATTTCTGGAGACAATTGTGGAGAGTGGTTGAACGGAGGTATGGTATTTCTTTAATTTAATAATAAGATGATAAAATATTTTTAGACTCACTCTATTCTCAGAGAAATTGAAGGCAAAGAGGTGAAAAAGTTATTTCCGAGCTTTAAAAAGAACCTCTAATATGTGATTGTTCTAAAAAAAGGAATTTTCTCCACAACACCTCAAAATTCAGTCACTATTGCCAGAGCATTTTGACGGACTTTTTGAGACATAATACGTGCCTAAGTGCTCGACTGAAGCGAAACCAAGGTGGTTTCAACTCAGCAGTTAACAAAATGTAGTCAAAAACTTTATTTTTCTAGAAGGGAAGCAATTCAGTCGCTCATTCGATCAGGAATTTTCTGAGATACAGCCCTTTAAAGACGAGCTATGTGCCTCTTGGCTTTTTCCTGCACTCAAAAAGTATTCACAAGTTTGAAACGGTTTTATAAACCAAAACAGCCATGACGGTCCTCTTAAAAAGCATTTTTTCTTTCTTCAGCAGATTGCATGCAAAGAGTGGATTTCAGTCTTTTTTCATGTGCCTATTGTAACTTTTGTGAAATTTTATCCTTATCAAATCGATTCACTTGGCTGTATCTCTTTTTGCAATTACAAACCCATTGAATGATAAAATACTTAAGCATAGAGGTAGAATACATTTGAAACTTTATTTCATTTAAATGCATAGTGGAAGCTATGAACGTTAAAATTGTCCTCAGTCTTCATAAATTCTCTAGTTCAAAACATTTTATAAATAAGTTTTTCAAGTGTTACCTTAATGAAATCCTTTAGCCTCTTAAAAGCAGCTGACAAAGCTATGCAGATCTATTATTTTTCAATATATTTTATTAAGAAATGAAATGTCGGTAAATTTTTTTAAAATTAATGAAGTAAAAGATATCAGTACTTGTGCCTCAGAAATAAAAAAGCAGAAAAGCGTGGCTTAAAAGAAGTACATCCCACACGAAGAGGCAAAATTATTTTTCTCAGTGGTATTACTGGTTTTTTTTCTTTCAAAAAGTCCTCAGAGCAGCTATCACAGGAGCAGTCCTGACTGTATAGTCTGACAGTTCTTGCAATGCATGCGCAGAGACTGCACAGTCAATGGTAAGCCAACATTGATCGTTCATTTTGCCTGTGAATGTCATTGATTGTACAGTTAGACCGCTTGTGTCATAGCAGCTCAGTTCTTGATTGGTAGTTGACAGAGGGCCAAGAGTATTCTTTGATTTATAATTGCTCAGAGGAATACATAATACCAAATATCTGAATATGAAATGCAAGACATCACCTATATAAAAGAATACTTTCATGGCTCAGTTTCCTCCGTCACTTCTATTCAATTTTTCCGGAAAGTACTAAAATCTTACTTATTTTCTTCATCTGTTAAAGGCTTTAGTTAAATGTTTATAATTTGATTCTCCTCAGTTGAAAAAAATCACATTCTTATTCCTTTCTATTCCAATGATGCAGAAAATGATGAGAATGGGTCCATGTTCAAATGCATGAAAGAGTTTCAATTTGCCCAAGTAGTACTGAGAGAAAATAGCCTGCATCTGTACGAATTATGGTTTTTTTGTGATCAAACTCAATTCCATGTCTCTAATATTTTTTGTTTTTATTTTTAGTGATATCGTAGTCCAGATTGTGGATGCGCGGAACCCTCTTCTATTTCGTTGCGAAGACTTGGAAAGATACGTGAAAGAAGTGAGTCCTAACAAGAAGAACCTGATTCTCCTCAACAAGGCTGATTTTCTAACAGGAAAGCAGCGCAAAGCATGGGCCTCCTACTTTGAGTCAATCGGTGTGAATGTTGCCTTTTTCTCTGCAGTCGAAGCCACAGATGTAATTCCAGAGGAAGAGGAAGAGGCAGTCGATGGGAAGAAAAGTGATGTTCAGGAGGAGACCAAGGGCGATGACGAGGCTCCTGAAACTAGTGAGGAAAAAGGAAACAGTGAAGGAGATGATGAAGGAGGTGATGAAGGAGATGATGATGGATTCGAAACTGAAGAGGAGGAAGAAATTATCGGTGAATTGGATGAGGATGAAATGAATGTGAAAAATTCCAGTAAACTCCTGTCGCGTGAGGAACTCATCGATTTTTTTAAGTCATTTCACAAAGCTGATTATGAAAAAGTGACCCCTGGTGTGACAACTGTTGGTCTAGTAGGTTATCCAAATGTAGGAAAAAGTTCAACAATCAATGCCCTGTTGACTTGTAAAAAAGTTTCAGTCTCAGCCACCCCTGGCAAAACGAAGCACTTTCAGACTTTGTTCCTAGACTCAAATTTATTACTTTGTGATTGTCCTGGTCTTGTAACTCCCAGTTTTGTTTTTACGAAAGCGGACATGATAATTAATGGAATTTTGCCAATAGATCAGATGCGAGATCACGTTCCTCCCGTAAATCTTGTATGTACCTTAATTCCACGTGAAGCCCTTGAACAGCACTATGGTATAATGATCCCCAGACCTGAGGAAGGAGAAGATCCAGACAGACCGCCTTTTTCAGAAGAGCTTCTTAACGCATATGCCTATAACCGAGGATTTATGACAAGTAATGGACAGCCAGATAATCCTAGGTCCTCTCGCTATGTTTTAAAAGATTTTGTAAATGGTAGGCTTTTGTATTGCACTGCTCCTCCTGGATGGGACCAGTCTAAGTACCATCAATTTAAAGTAAAAAAAGTGCGCATGCCGCGACCTGTCACTCCTCTCCAACATCGTATATTGAAGCCGGTCAAAACAACAGCAACTGAGCTAGATCAGACATTTTTTGATAAAAAAAGCACAGGCGTACATATGAAGGGAACAGCCAAGTATATGCCTGGAGTAAACCCTACCAACAGTGGAGCTAGCTCAAATTTTTACACAAGTAGTCCCTCAACATGGAGAAAACAACTCAAAGAGAAACGTCATAAGAAGGAAAAGTTAAGACGAGTGTACAGGCACTTAGATGAGTAATTGCGTTGCCAAACTGAAGTGAAAGTACAATTACTTTCTTTAATTAGAGGAAGCATCTTTTTTTTTTTTGTAAAATAGTGTATGTATATGAAATTCCGATTTTTAATTTCTTTGGAGAATACAATGTATAATTTTTGTTGATCAAAATCACAAAGTTGGTTTTTTTTTCTCTGAGGCCAGCAATGGCAAATATGGAAAAAGCTAAAACGTATCCTGGTTTGGGACAAAAACTGATTAAAACTCGATCTGGGTAGATTTTTTGTGCAAGTTTTCAAAGATTTGGAAAGTCAGAGATTTTTTTACTATCTCGGGACATTAGGGAACTCTGCCATCCAACTTTGAAATTTTCTGTCCCATCAAAATTATAATTCTTCCTTGGATTCCACCTGTATGCTCGATTGGCATAGCATTTTTCATTTTTGTTCTGAATATCGTTTCGCAAGAGAATCTCCATTCTCAAAAGTGTAGGAAAGTTACGAATAAGTAAGGAAACGTTTTATCTCACGATATTCATTCATTTTTTATCCAACAATGAATCAATTCATTCATTTATCATCCTTGTTTGTAAATTTATAATTTCACATCAAGTATTTTTACGCAATGAAGAATTTTTAGATGTCCCAAATTTGAGGAATATTATGTTTAAGTGGAAACTACTCAGTAAATTGGGCACAAGAATATTTTTTGTTTGTATATCAAACAGTTACTAGCTAATGTGTTTCTATGGAAAATGCTGCCTCATAATATCACAAGGCAATATATTTTCTCCTTCATTAATCTATTTTTCTACAACATAATTCCCAAAAGAAAAAAATGATGAAAATTATTGCAGACCTAGCTCACGAAGCTGTCTTGGATCAAGGATTAGCCTTTTTTGGTGCCAATGGACCACTAGACAAGGTACGAATTCAAGCAATCTGATACATGTTTCTTAACCAGAATTTCACGTAGAACACGATTCGTGCAATGAAAATTACTGAAACCAGCTCCTGATGAAGATATTAACCTTTTTATTTCACATTGGTTAAGCGGATTTTGAACTGCCCGCTCACAAGAAACTCAAAGCTCTACGTGAGTCAAATCGCGCACCACAACAGTTTTAGCTAGCCTCTCAATCGATCACTGTTCATAGCCCACCATGTGTTGTTCAAATTATAAGCAATTTGCTATAGCTGAGCCCGCAAGCGTCAAAATTGAGGTCGCCAGATTTTTATATCGCAAAGACTGTCATGATAATGTTCAGCCCGCGATGTGAATCACGTAGAGCATTGAGTTTTAATGAGCGGGTGGTTTGAATTCACGCATCAGGAATCATTTAATATCATTGTAAGGAGTTAATTTCGGTAATTTTTGTTGTGCGCATCGTGTTTTACGTGAAATTTTGGTTAAAAAATATGTATCAGAATGCTTAAATTCGTACCTTGTCTAGTGGTCCATTCTCCATTGCATAAATCTCACTCATTGGCTACATCAAATCACTCCTTGAACGTTCCGAAAGATTTTGGACGCCAACTTTACTTGAGGGACTTCGAGGACAAAGCGCATAAGTGCAGTTTTTGCTATTTCGAGAAATATGTGTTTGAAGTTTCAAAATTACATGGATCCTTATGGCGGAAAAAAAGTTCAAACTGACTTTTTGTTGCTTAAAAATTGGAATTTGGGAGCGAATTTTTCCCATGGAATATGCATTAAGACTAGTTTTACTTGATTTGATTAATATCTCAATTTTTTCAAGAAGTACGCTTATGTGCCTTGTCCTCTAAACCCCCCCACTTGTCACTTTACCCAAGTTTGCACTAAGTAAATACCGAGCACACATTTTTTTACTTACTTTTTAAAGAAAAGTATTGAGGGCAGATACTATAATGACCTTTAAAGTCTATTCAATACAGACTCTGGTTGCACTGATTGCCAAAAAAGTTAAGAGACTGCATTTTGTGTTGTACATCAATAGGATTTATAAAATTTAACAAAATTTTGATGGAAATTTTTTCACAACTTTTTTTTACAAAATTTTCAGATAAATTTTACTTTAAAAAGAACAGTATGTTTTAAGCAGTTTTTTCGGTTTCTTAAAGTCGAAACTTATGCAAATTTCAGGAGCAAGTTGAAAAGAAGCCATCAAGAATTATAAGTACTTGGACATTTTTTATTAAAATAATTGGAACACTTTCATGTATACTTGAAATTTTTACATCAAACAAAACTTACACGAGAGCTAGTTTATAAGCCCCAATACAATTGAAAGAAGTAAGTAGGTAGGTAACTAATTCAGTTCTTGAACATAAAACTGAAGTAATACAGAAAATTCTTAATAGGGTAAAAATTCGATAAAAAATATGCAATGTGATGATTAACTTCCAAAAAGAAGCTCTCAGACTTTTCTGTGCATTTTATAGTCTTCTACTCAAAGGATCATAACTCAATTGTGCTGTTTCAGTAGGTATTTCTCACTAACATTTTATCTTTCACAGGGAAACCTTTCACATGAATTTATCTGAAGTTTTCCATAATATTTCTAAACTATTGTGAGAAAAAGTTCTAAAATTTTCAGACAAATTCATTTTATGGTTCATCCATGAAAAATAAAATCTTCATAGAAGTACTGAAACAGCAAAAATCGAAAAACGTTTCTTCATGCAAAAGACAAGGATTTACATAAAGCCTTTAACCTCAGGCAAAATAAATACTGTTTATTTATTCACCCTGAAACGAACTTATGATACGGATCGTCGACTATTACTATACACATAAATACTTTGATCATGTTTATTCTTACAATGAACAATAAGATTATGCTTTCGATGACTAGCATAGGCACAAAAATTACATTTAAATCGAGGAGTTTGACCGCATTCAAACTTCATATGTTGCAGTAAATTTCTTTTATCCTTGTAATGGCTGGGGCATTTGGGGCAGAAGAATCTATCTTGACTCTCGATGGGCTTTATCATAATATCAGTATCCGAGTTGGAAAAGTAACTGAAGTTTTCACTTGATGATTCATACATTTGTGATTGACTGAACTGTTGCAATTCTACAGATTTAAAATATCCTTGGTTATCTGAAAATTACAGAGACATGTTATAGTTGTAAGACCCAAAAAATCAATTTCAGTAAAAATCAAGTGAAAGAAATTAAAAGAAAAAAATACTGTTGAGAGAGAGTGAGAGAGAGAGAATAGGAAATCATCTACTTACTAAGAAGCCATGCCAAAAAGTAAAATAAGAATCTAAGTGCCTAAAGCTAAATTTTTAGGAGCACACCTACCTACAAAGACAAGAAAAATACTTAAAAGTACGGAATATAAGTGCTGGGGTAAAGAGACGAAAAAATTAAATTTTTTATACAGTCGATTTCAATTCACGACTAATTAACTCAATTTTAATCAAATATACTGCGTATAATTCATTGCAGTAAATTTGTCATTGTTTTAGGAGGTTTCAGTAAAAACTGAGTATAATTTGCACCCTACAAACATTGATTCAGGCTGGATGAATTTTTTAATTTTATTTTTGATGTAGAAAATGTCCGTTTTATTCTTTTAAAACACTGATACTGCTGGATGGTGGGAGGATACTTGTGATAATTCTTTCTTATGGAATTGGCGCACACCTGGAAAAAACCAAGACAAAATTTAGAGACATACATACATGCATGTATATTTTCTGGGTATACATGGAGGATTTCGTTTTAATCTGAGAAAAGGTAAATGCACTCTTATGAGGTCCCTAGCTTATTCTGCAAAGAAAATTAGGCAGTACATAGGTAAATATATTTGCAACAGCACTGAAAATATTGACAAATACATCTTTTGAGGCAGCAAAAATACAGACAATACAATCTAAAAGGATATTCAGCTAAACAGGAAGAGATCCTGCTTAGTACCAAGTAGAAATCATTATGTTTGGAAGATTTTCGCTGACGTCTCTCTCTGTCAATGACGATGACATTAAATACTGTAAGGCAGACTTTTTCTTAGGTAAGTTATAGGGGGAACAACCGTGATATTCATTTTTGGTAATATTTTTACTAGAATGATGAACAATTAGGGAGGTTTTTTTTTTGAGAGAGAGGAAATTATGAACAGAGAGATAGGAAATACTGCATTGATTTTATTTGGTGCATTAAATGGTGATATGATAAACAAGAAATTTGGGAGTTGAGTTACTTAAGTACTTAGACCATTAAAGTGATACAACAAAAAGAAAAGAGGTTTTGATTGATGAACACGAATAAAGATAAAAACAGTTCCTACCTACCTACCTACCCCCTGCAGGAGCAACAGTTTAAAATTATTTCAAAACATAGACCTACAGACACCATCAAAATTATCTTATCACTGAAAGTAGCTGGATTTTTTCTTCCAGGTGAAGGTGAATAACAATTAGTTGTTCCTTTCTATTACAAAAACAAAAAAACAATTTTTTTGTAAATTATTCTTGTACGGTGTTATGAAAATTTGCCAAGTACTTAGATATGGACAAAAATAAATTTTAAACAAATGAGCAATGACAAAAAAAAGAAGGAAAAAGGGATGAATCTGCTTGGGTAGGAAAGTAGCTGAATTTAGCAAAAAAACAATAATTTGAGAGCTATTGAAATGCTTTTGCTATGAGTAGCTACTATTACTGTAGTGCTGCTAAGATTGGGTCACTTCTCTGTTTAACTGACTGAAAGAGCATCAGCAAATCCCTGGCTTGAGTAAAAATGCGTACCTCAGATTCTGAAACGGTAAGTTTTTGCTCACACTTATGTTATTTTCTGAGGGAAAAATAACTTATAATTTCTATTTAAAGTTTCTGAAAATTATAATCATTCTAAACACATTACTTAAAATTGTATGGAAACTTTTTGATTGGCTTTCTTGGAAGAAAATAACACAGATTCAGAGATCACTTTTCGAAATGGAAATTTTCAGGACGATTTCCTCAATTTACTTAACTAATAATTTTTAATTGTACCTAAAAATAGTCCTTGTTTAAAGTTGTAGGTATTCCCTGCAGGATATAGGGACTTCATCAAACAAAAAGGGAACAAATTATTATGCTCTACTTAGGAACAACATTTATGCCATTAGTTTTTCGATGCGGATGAGTGCTTTTAATGGTGAGCCATAAATGTTACTTCCTTTTGATGTAATGCAGTCGAAGAGAAGTTGCACAATCTTGGTGGCATTGCAATAAAAGCAGTTCCTTGTAGCAAAATGCAGTTCGATTGTAGGGTTCACACAAAATAAGGTTACGAACTTTTGGAGTGTGAAAGAGGATCAGGTGTCTTCAGCTTAGTGCTAAAGTAAAATGCTAAAATCAATATGGAGGGAAGAGATGAAGACTTCTGTCTCACTCTAAGAGTACATAACCCTCTTTGATATGGACTCTAAATAGGAAATACAAAATGATAAATACTCTGCACTGTTGCATCCTGTTTAAAGTATGCCATGCAAAAAAGAACAAATAATTTCAGGCGCAAAGGCACGATAGTAAATCACTCATTATTCACAGCACGAACTTGGGTCAGAGATCTTCATTCTGAGAAGAAGGCTCAGCTCAAGAAAATAACAGTCATAAACTAAGAATAGTCATAAACTAATTTGTCCTACTGTGATTGTATAGTCATCTAGTCGATTGAGACGTTGGGTGCAGTAAGGTCATTTATTGGTTGCTGCATCTCAAAATCTACACTGCTACTTTATATTTTAGAGAGGAAACTATTCAATGAACTTTCTGAAATGTTTCGTTTTCAGCATTGTAAATTCATGAAGAAAATTCAGTAAATGTTTCAACGAATTCCATACGATTTACTTTCATTATAATTTAAATTATAATGGATGAAAACGTTAGCAGAGATTCTGAGACACAGCCGAAAAATATGCTTTATGCACCCATCCAACACTTCAATTATACAATACCCAGGTGTGCTTTGTCTATCTGATATTTGATGATCAGAGACATGGAGCTCAAAACCTGCCAACATTATGTTACCACACAGTACCTATATAGTTGTTTTTTTCCTCTCTTCCACCCACCCCCTCCCCTGATGAAAAATTGATCAACATGGGCTCAACTTAAGTCCTTAATTTTTCCTTGCAATCAAGTAATTTGCATAACTCTAAGATGTGAAACAGCCACTTCATGACCAACTAAGTAGTGATATTCCTAACTCTCAATGAGAACGCCTCTCCTTTTTACCCCATGTCTCTCATATTTCTTTGTGACTGTATTTGAAGTAAATGAAGAGCGCAGATAATACAGTATGTATGAAGGAAAAAATTAATCTTCAAAATGACAAAAAGCAAGGATAATTTAGAATCAGACCCGGAGCAATTCATTACTCTTCGCATCATGAACACAAATTAAATGTCTTTTCAAACCAGTTTTGTAGCGGAATTTTTTGTTGCAGAATTTACAGGTAAAAGCAGGATCCTTTCCACACTCAAACTTTTGATGTTGTACAACGCCTGTTTTGGTTTGATATTTTCGGCCACAGGATGAGCATTGGTAGAGCAAGGGATGAGGGTGAAACGCATTGGAAAAGGTGTCATCATTTTGAATGACAACAATACTGGGAGCTTGTAGGAGTGAATCTGAAAGTAAGAGAGAACATGTTTAAGCTAAGGATCAATGACGAGGTTACAAATCAAAGAATTGTGAGTGGATAAAAGGAGAGATTGAAGAAAACCAAACCAAACCGAGGAAGGAGAAGCATAGGTAGACACTCAATGGACATTCAATCCAAAGCTGCATTTAGAGAGTAGACTTTACACTGACAGCTAGGTTTCAAATCGGAAATACAAAAAATGTTGATAAATAAAACTGTTTCAATCAAGATTTCCCTGACTTGTAAACGTCAACACAACTGACACACCTCCGAAACTAACAATCGAATATTACCATAACCTATAACCTCATTTTCAATATTTTCAATATTATTAAACATTCGGACATGGGACGTAGACGTAAACACAGAGGAAGGGAAGGCTCATATTCAGCACAGATTTGAACGATACCTAGCGGTGAGACAGAGAACTAGATGCATTGAAGGCGCGCGTTTCCGGCGGAAACTAATCTACCGGAAATGGACCCACTCTGATTGAATAAACGTACGGCGGCGCGGCGCGGCGACAGTCGCTGTATATAAATGCGTATGTTAATAGTATATAATTTTTTTTTTTTATTCCGCTTCTCTTATTACAGATCTTAAACTGTTACTGCGTACATACATTGCTAAGTAAAACTATTTACTAACCCTCAGATGCCACTAACTTGCTTTGATACACGAATTCCCATTTTAGAACATTCACGTAGCTAACTTCATAGCTTTTGATAGTTTATGAAGTGTAATCTACAGTTATCTTCATTTTTTTGAGGATAAGAAACACTTTTTTTTCTTCCTTTTTTTTTAAAAAATAGTGATCCTTTTGGTATTATACCTACTGGCGCTTTCTCCCCCCCCCCCCCCCNATCCCCCTAGCTCATCCGTCATACGTATCTTCCTCAGAAGAGATATTTGGATCAATTTGCACAATTTTGAAACAATTTTTTGGGAAAGCCCTGTCAACACTACTAGCAAAAGTTCACGGAACTTTGCGCGAAAGTCAAGTTCCGTAAACCTATCTCTGTGTGGGCAAGGCCCTCCATTCATAAGAAATGAACGAAAAAATTATGAAAGAACAAACATAAATGTGGATCAATGATTTTAACTTTCACCGCCGCGCCGCGCAGACCGCATCGTGTTTGGCGCAATGCGTGAAGTATTCCGACAGTCTTGTAGGCGCTATGCGTTTCACGCCGACCGCTGCTGAACGCACTGTGTTGGACGCAACGCGTGAAGTATTCACGCAGTCTTGTAGGCGCGAACATGTGTTACATGCCGATCGCCGCGCCGAAGGCTTCTCCTTTTCATCTCAAGTCCTCGTTATCATTTCTCTCGAAGTCGCGCCGTTTCAGGCCAAATCGCGTGTTTGGTCTCTCTCTTAACTCGACTTATTGAAGGTGCTGTCTCTTGTATCACTAAGAGACGACAAAATTAGAAATTATACTCTCAGGAAATGAGAGATGTCGCCTATTCTCGTTTGTAATTTTGTTTTTATAAAACCGATTTTTTTTTATACCTACACTTTAAAAGATAGCAAATTTTTGCCACCCCTTAGATTTGCCGCCATGGGCCGCGGTCCATATGGCCACCCCCTTAATCTGGCCCTGAATACATGGAAATAGAGCAAATCGACGGTGTGAGTCGGCAATCACATAACTCAGTTTGAGACGTCGCAGACTCCCTGTCATACTTTATTTTTTAAACGGAAAACTACTCAACGGCAATTTTTTAAAATTGCCGTGATTTTTCTTCCCTGTGCGAAGAAAATTCTGCAAAAACTTCAAGAAATGACGTCAATTTGTTCTCCTTTAAAGAAACAACATAGAGGCGGAAATTTTCAAACACCGCAAACAAAATATGTCGGACTTACGCCGCGCCATGCCGCGCCGTCGAATGAACGGACTCGCGTGACGGCGCAGAGATACAACTATTCGTACTTAATGGATGTCCGTGTTGTATCCGCAAAATTGAAGGCGCGCGGTGTGGACTCGCAATGCTCCGCTCTATGGTTGGTTATCTGAGGCTTAGATTAATTTCGATAAAAACCAATTCAATAAAAAGATTCCGCTCAAAGATCTACCTTCAGCCTTCCGTTAGTTACAGTCTCCTTGCGGTGGTACACTCATGAGATTAGTTTCCTGTGCGGTGGTTATTGTGAGTATCTTTCTCGGACAAAAGTCCAACTTTAGCAGGAGCATCGTCGTTACCTAGAACAAAGCAGTTATTTCGATATTATACTCGTGAGTAAAAACAATTCTCCTAAGGAAAAAGAGCTTTTAAAAACTCAGGAATTTTTAGTCTAGCAGTTAATCTGGTAGGTAAAAGTAAGTTAGCCAGGAATTGGTGCCCTTCCAAACCACATCATGGACCTAATTCGTTATTGACAAGAGCCTAATGAAAGGCGCCGCCGCACTAGCACCGCACATTCGGGTGAATGCCATATCTCTGAACGGGAGGCATCAAGACGCCATTTCAATGACAACGCCTTGATACAATTATACGTACTCTATGGATGTCCGTATTGCATACAGAAAAAATTGAAGGCGCGCTGACTTCCCTCCCGCATCCGACTCGAACAGTCGAGCAGCAGGCTAGATTCATATTGTAGATTCCCAGCAGAGCATTTTTATTTGGGGCTTAAATTTTCATAATTGCGCGCAAATTCGCCACTTTTTACCTCACAGTTGCCAAAAAAAAAAAAAAAAAAATAGCAGATCATTTTTATCGTAAAGGAGGGAGAAAGATACCTAAGGGGAGTGAGGGGGCGGGAGAGAGGAAGAGAGGAAAATTAATAATAGGAACTTCTATATAGACGGTGAAACTCTTAAACCACGTATTCCAGTTTGCGATGTTGTAGACTTCCTGTCACTCTTCAAGTTCTCCTTTAAAGTTCTCCGTCAATTTTATTGGCTAGGCAGCAAACCTACTCAGGGGCACGAATACGAGTATAACACATTTTTGAGTGGTTGTCTTTGGGCTATATTGTTTTGAGGTGCACTTTTCTAAAAATGTGAAAATGAAACCTAATATTTTTCCGCAACAATGTAAGAATTAAAAGTTGATCATAATTTTGACATTGATGGTTTGATCTTATTTAAAAACTGGTGTATTTATAAAATCCAATCAAGAGTTTCATATAGTTATGCCTCTAAAAACCTTATTCAGACCGATTTTCACAGAAACACACATCAAGACTCGTTTAGAACCGAGAAAAATTAGTTTGAAGTTTTTGTATCTGCGCAAAGCTCAATAATAAGGACAAAGTTTAAAAGTTGTTTTCACGTTCAAAATCCATTTTTCGACTTTGAATTCTTGACAGGAGAAAAATCTTTTTTCCTTCTTCCAAAATGCGATTTGATGTGTTCCTGTTGATCTCGAGTCATTGAATTATTTAAAGTGAGGAGGATATGAAGCACAGAAAATATTATACCTGAGTCCCTCCTAGAATTCGAAAGTGGATCATCGTTCTCTATGAAACGAACGGAGTATTTGCCCTCCAAGGAATTGGGCAGGTACGATTTACTCGTCGCGTTAGAGGAACCAAGAGAGAAAAAATTCATCTCTTGAAAGTCTCTTGAGTCAGTCATTGCACGACGATCCCTTCTTCTTCTTTTTCGACAGCAATTCGTTTTGGTCCTTAGTTGCACCAACTCTGCTCTGACCTCACTGTTCATGAAGCAGTATAAGATCGCCACCATAGACCCCTGAAATCGACCAGAATTTTAGCTCTAGGCCTTTTATAAATTTCACACTAACATCACGTTCTCAGAATTGAGAAAGCTACGGGACTTGGACATTGGCGAATTCAGCGAATTAGAAAATTGTATTTCTCCATTTAAATCTATGGAATTATATCGATTCCTGGAGGGGCCAGGTGCTCCGATAAGAATCAATTAATTAACATAGGTTTAAATGGAGGGAATCCGGCGTTGCCAAATTACTGGATCTGCCTCTGGACTTGGACCAGTGTGACGGACCGTGCAAAAAAGAATGTGAGGTATACAACGCTACTTGTTGTCATTGAAACATGTCAATGAGTGCCAATTCAGCAATATAAGAGCGGTACTCTGTCCCAAATGATTGCTTTTTATTGGGGTAGAAAGATAAGATAAGCAGATCATGATGGTAAAAATTATGTAAATTTCCGAGGAATCATAAAAATATCGATAGTGAAACTGCAGAAACGCGTATTTCGGTTTGCGGCATTGCAAAATTTTTGTCATTTTTCATTTTTTACATGGAAAAATATTGCTCATAATATCTTGAAAACTCTCAAGTTTTTCTTCTTTATGTGAAGAATATTTCGTGAACATTTCAAAACACGATGTCAGCTTGATGTCCCTTTTAAAAAAATACAATAGGAGCGGAAATTTTAAAACATTGCATCCGAGATCCGCATTTTTGCAGCTTTACCTTTGATGTTCAAATGTTTGTACCTAAATGAAATTTTGAGGGAGAAAATAGGCCATACCTGAAAGGACCCAAGAAGTTGATCGAAGAAAAGCCACAAAATCTGAATTGTGTCATCTTGAATGGCAGATATCGCCAGAGAGAGAACATACTGAACGCCCAACAGAGGAACGAGCACAAGTGTAGATTTTGCCCATCGCCTACCAAATAGAGAGGAAGTAAAAATTAAGCTAAAAAAAGCCAAGGGGACCTGTCGATGAAATAGTTTCAAAATCACTTTGAAAACGTTTTAAACATATTTGGAACGGACTTTAGTAAAAATGAATCAGCGTGATTACAGTGTTGTAAAAATGTTGCTCATTCATAATTATCTAAAAAATCTCCCAGAAAAGCAAATAGTTTTCTCTTCCCGCCAAAAAATTATTAGTTTTAAAGAAGTTTAATTGTTAAAATTTAAATGGGGAGCATCATTTTGACTGCCCTAATCACATTTCCATTTTATTCTACCAAGATGGTCTGAAAATTTAAGAAAATCAAGCTGATGCTTAGAATGAACTTTTTAAAATCATTTGAAATTAGTACAATATTTGTTAGAAACGAATAAGTCTGATGCTATATTACCTGAGCCTTTGAGTTTCCTCGCTCATGGAGGCGCGCAATTTGAGCATCAGCACTCGGACGATGTTTATAAACATGCAAAAGTTAAGCTGAAACATTTAAAACGTTGAGAATCAATCCACCTGGAGGATTAAATTCCTTTTAATTAGTAGGCGTCCGACAAATATCGATGGTGAAACTCCTAAATCACGTAATTCGATTCGCGACATTGCAAACTTCCTGTCATACTTTATTTTTTAAATGAAGAACTACTCCACGTCAATTCTTCAAAACCCTCTCGATTTTTCTTCTTTGGGCGAGGAAAATTCTGTGAAAACTTCAAAGTATAATTTTGATTTATTCTCTTTCAAAATTCTAAAAAGGAAGCGGAGATTTTGAAACACGGCGATTGAGATACGTGGTTTGGGAGTTTCGCCGCGTTGAAAAGCAATTAAAAGGAAAAAGTATAGGATCTCTTGTAACATCTCTATGCAAAAACTGCAAAAACACTGTGTTCTAATTTCGGATGGAGGCACACTAACAATGAGATATTCAAAAATCAAGGTATTTTAGGTATACAGACCTGTGGAGTGGATTTAATTAAATATCTTAATTTCAACAAAGCAAAACTGTATATGCATTGACCGAAGCTAGCCTCTTTTATTTCTTTTTATTATCTTTTATTTCACCAAAGGAACATATTCCCCTTCTTTTCTGAGTGGGTAAGCACTATCTATAATTTTCTGGATATTCTTTTTTATGTTTGTTATTATCTCGCTATCTCACCCTTCACCAACTCCGAAAACAAAGGGACAGAGGCAGATCCAGAAATTTGTCACCGCTGGCTTATCTCCCTTTAAAACAGTGTCAAATAATCGATTTTTCTTGAGACATCTGGCCCCTCCAAGAATCGATACATTTCCATAGGTTTAAATGGAGAAAAAAAAGTGTTGCCATTTTGCTGGATCCGCCAATGCAAATGAAATACATAATTAGCGAGGCCACTCACCAAAATTGAGATGATTATTGGGACTCGAATAACGCTGTAAATAAATAAATTGTTGTTCGTCGTCCAGCACAATTCATTGTCGTAGAGGGTCCGTAAAACTACCCACGCGGCAACGAATAAAAAAGGCAGACCTGAAATTTTTAAATGTACAACTTGAATAAAATATACTAATTTTTCTCTATATTGGGCCTTAATTTCCTCAATATAGCCAAGTAAAGCAACTAAAAACTTAATGAGAGATTATAGCGGTTTCATATGAAAGAGAAAGAGAGGAAGAGAGAGGCGATTAATAGATTTTGGAGGTTGTTTTGATTACATTGAAAAAATGAGAAAAAGACAAGAATACATTGGAATGGAATGACGCAACTTCTTCGGAACACCTAAATTTTGATATTGCTAATCACAGCTTTTATATTTGTACTAAATTTTGCAATTAGGAACTACAGTTTCCAACTCCCTTTTAAAACAACGTATATGACATTAGTTTCCATATGCAGATAAGTGATTTTACAAATGAGACAGATCTTGTAGTTCCTCGTTGCGAAATGAAGTTCATAGAGTGAAAATAAAAGCTGAAAAACACGGATCTCGATTTCTCAAAATATCCAATGCTGTTTTATATCTTCAAATAAAAATGTTTTTGTTTTGGATTTCTCCAATATTTTCTGGATACAAATCCGTAATATCCTGAAAAAAACTGGTCATAGCTTTTCCTCAAGGGTTGAACCAAGAAATCTGCAGGGTCGTAAATTACCTACAAGTACCTACAAGTTTTTCAAATTTCACCACCCAACCGCATTCTGCAAAAGGAAATCAACGCGATTTTTAGAGAAATTCAACTAACAGTTGATCTGTTGATCCGACTAGTCATTTTATTACGATACGGAAAGGATTTTTTCACAAGAAGCATATTAATTTAATCCGAAATTGTGACTTAAAATGGATATAATTTGCTCTGAGCGTTTGGATTTCTCAGAAGGGAATCACAAGGTTGCGTTGGTTAGGTTGATAGGCGAACATTGTTAAACTTCTGAAGTTAGAGTCAAGCGATGCACTTATCAAAACAATAATACGACTATTCGTGTCTCTACGTCGGGTGTTTAGCATAGTTGGATAATTGAAGGCGCTTTTTCGCGATCGGAACCGCACGTTCTCGCTTAGTCGAAATACGCGATCCAATTTTCAGACCCAGTCTCAGCTCTACTCGTACGGAATCATTCACTCAGCAAAAACGTTTCGAAAAAAATCTGGAAGTTTTTGAAATTTGATACATATCAATGGTTCATCAACGAGTATCAGTGTTATTTTCGCACCTAGACATTTATTTTTACTCAAAGCGTAAGCGCTCGTGGGCGTGGGTACGAAGATCGCCTTCATATATACAGCCATGCAACACATCACGCAACATATTACTTGACTTACCCCATCCGAAGAATGTGTAGATATAAATGGAACTAGTGTCCGAAAATAAGGCTAGAAATATTAGATTATGAAGGTAGAGCCCTTCCATGAAGAGCCAAGCGTAATTTGCGACTTGAAAATACTGCCAGCACGTCAAAACTATTCTACAAGTCCAAGTTTTCTGAAATATAAAAATAATTCAACAGATGAACCAAATTTACAGCCACTGGCTACGGACGAATGGAAGATTTTTCTTTCAAGAACAAATAACAGAAAAAAGTTTGCTGTAAGGCCTAATGCAAGAATAATTTAGCTCTTGGTGCATTTTGATATCCTCAAACTTGAATGAAAGGAAAACATTTTGTATCTAATAGAGACTATTTTGAATAGAAAGGTCCACACTAAATTTTTGGTTATTGGTCATTATTTTACTATAGTTCCGTGTTTTTCTTTTTAAAAATCTAACACTTTTAAAATGGCAAATAAATTTATAAAAAAATATCTGACAAGAAATGTACATCGTTGCAAACTACGTTGTTTTTTTCAAGGTGTTTTGAGGTTTGAAAAATTATACCTCAATTTTTTACAGTTCCACGTTTATTTGTTATCTTCTAAACGTATGAGACTTGAAATCAGGAAATGTCGTATTGGCATACCTGGAGATCATTGGCGAGGTACGTGTCACCTTGTTCACTCCGGTAGTTTGGCAGAGCAGCGTTGTAGAAAAAAAGTGCAGCTTTGAGGAGTGAAAAGAATGATCTCATCATAAAGGAGGTGAAAAGATGAAGATGGAGTAAATTTCGGGGGCATCTCAACTTTCTGAAATATGAATAACTACCTGTCAATACACAAAAGAATTCTTTGGAATGTCTGAAAATGATCAACCTCAACATCCAACGACACATGGCACGATCATGATGAACTTGCAAGAGTTATTAATTACACAGAAAGAAATTCAAAAAGAAATGAAAAAAATAATTTTTCTCAGGAAAAAGCGTCGGGCTATTTGCATACAGCAATGATTACAATCGTCATCATTCAGCTAGACCTATATGATATCTGTTCAAGTTGTGACATAACTATACGTACTGCTCGACCCATAACTATAATGCAGGTAGACTAAATTGCGATTATGCGAATATGGCAATATAAAGGGAAAATATTTTTTTCTCCAACTTGTGTTGGAGCGAAAAGAAGAGCTTTTTTTTTTATGGAAAATGACTAAAAAATCTCGATGGTATCGATTTACTTACTTAAAAGACGCCAGTATGCAGAATGCAACAAAAAGCGTGATCAGAGAAATTCCGTATCCGACCTGAGAAACTTTTTGCACTGCGGGAACATATTCCTGAAAAATGTGGATACAACTTAAAAAAACTTGACAAAAACTAGCTAAACTTATCTAAATGAGATCCAATTGTGAAACCCCTTTACCATGCATCTGTAGACCCATGGATCCTTCATAACTTGCCATAATTCTGGCAAAATAACCTCGCTTCGATGAAAAAAATAAGATGTTGCGGTAAAACCGTGGTTGTTGAAACAAAGCGCGGAAAGGAGAAGAAAGAGAGAAAGAGCTTCGCTCATTGATGGGAGCGAAGTTACTTTTTGTGTCGATAATTGAGGGGCTTGGAGGACAAGGCGCATAAGTGCAGTTTAGTGCAGTTTTTGAAAAAAAAGTGAGATGTTATTGATTTCAAGTAAACCTACTTTTAATGCATATTTGGCGAAAAATTCGGTCCCAAATTTTAATTTTTAAGCATCAAGAAGTCAGTTTGAACTTTCTTTCCGCCATAAGGATCCATGTTATCTCGGAACTTCAAAAACATATTTCTCGAAATAGCAAAAACTGCACTTATGCGCCTTGTCCTCGAAGCCCCTCAAATCACCCTCGTGGCGGTCTCATATCTTCACTAGTTGATTTTCCATCACATAATATACTTCAAACGCGAGCCAAGATCATGTTTTGAGCACGCTCTCATTGAAACTTGGTGCAATTATTAGTGCCTGATGATGATTATTTTTTATACATTGCATGAAAATTCTTCGCCGGGTCCTCTCTGTCAAAATAAAAGGCAAGTGGAAACTTTGAAGCACCGTCATCGAGATAAGAACAGTGAACCAACGATGATACGGGGTGATATTTGCACGGTCTCACGACACATTAGACATGCTTTCATGCTTCATGCTGGTAACAGAGGTGACGCTCTTAGGATACATGTCTCGATGGAAGAAGAGTTCGCTGATGAAAGATGAAAAAAAAATGGGGAACGGGTGTTGGAGGAGGGTGGAGAGAGGGGAAATAATGAATGAAGAAGCACTAGAAGCACTTAAAACCACCCGTGTTTGATACTGACTCGCATTGTTGGCTTTTGCTCAATGCTTAGAAGTTTAAAGCCTCTTCGAGCAAAGTTGTGACAACAGTAACAACAGATTGATAATCTTGTTACGCTAATCTTATTTAACGTATCTATTGACAAGGGTATAATCTTTGACGTATCTCCCAACTCATGGCACGCAACGTTTTAAAGACTCCATTGATTTCGTATTGCTCGCCTCGGCAGCTCTTAAGTGTTATCATGTCTATATTTTACTTACAGATAAAGGAAAAAAATTCAGTTGAGTTCAGTAGGTCTGTTGTTGCAAAATTTAACGAAACTCTAACTTCAACGCTCTTTGACAACGCGTTGCAATGGGGCACTATAGATAAGGTCAGGATTAGAAAAATGCGTCACATGTTTTTTCTTCAAAAACTTACGAAAAAAACGATTCTTACAACGGGGCGTTCGGAAATATACTTTTGAGTGAGATATTAACAAGTGATTTTGATGTAGATCAAATGGAAGTTAGAGTATATACAAATGAGGAGCTTGGAGGACAAAGCGCATAAGTGCACTATTTAAAAAAAATGAGATATTATTGATTCCAAGTAAAACTAGTCTTAAATGTATACGTACACTGTGAATAATTCGCTCCCACGTTCCAATTTTTAAGCATAAAAAAGTCAGTTTGAAATTTCTTTCCGTCATATAAGGATCAACGTAATTTCAAAACTTCAAACACGTACTTCTCTAAATAGCAAAAACGGCACTTCGCGCCTTGTACTCCAAGTCCCTCAATTAATGATGTCATTTGTAATTTTGACATGTATTTAATGTTACATCTAAAAACTTTTCTTTCTTGTTAAGGGTAATTGATCCCCGGAGCCCAGACTTCCCATTGTAGGATTCGTTTTCTTCGTAAAATTTTAAAAAGAAAACATGTCTCGTAATACTTTAATCCATGATTTGTTCTGAGGCTGAGGCCTATTGGGAATATTTTTTTTTGACTCACCCGCAAAAGCACTAATCTGCATGGGGAAACTAATGTCACATATGAGGTTCATGAAATAAGCCGGAAATATCGATTCCTTAACTCAAAATGTATAGTCCATCTAATCGCAGGATCAAGCTTCCTCGTACATTTGTTGAAAAAAGTGTTTGCCTCTGAACTTCCATACAACTGTTCCGATTTAACTTTAGCATCCGAAAAGAAACTTAGAAATAGAGGAGAAAAGAGGGAAGAAGCAAAGAATGATAAATCATGAATTAAGAAATGAGGTGAATCCGTCTATATTGTTCTGCTTCCCTCAGATAAGGGTATACACTGAAAATAAATATGGTAGATTTTACCGTACTCTGACACAGCGATACGAGTATGATAATAAACACCAGACTCTATAGTAGCATTTATCTTACTATGGTAAGTATCACCGGAGTTCTGGTGAATACTGTCATGATTCTGGTTATTTTTACTGAATGGTATATCACAGTGTAAAAAAACGAGTAGACTTATAGTAGATGTTACCATACGTTTTTGTCAGTGTACATTTGAACGAAGAACTACTTACCCAAATCACGTCCGGCACCTTTGGTGGTGGGAGCTTAACGTAAACTCTAGTGAAGGGCTCAGTGGAGCACATAGAATAGTTTGCCCAAGGCAACTTTGTCGTTTCACTCTTGTACCACTGTCCATCAGCTTCGCACTTCTTTGAGGCAAATCTCTGGAACAATGCATGGGAAAATCATCATGTTTACGTTTTGCTGTTTAAAAGTTTTTTCATAAAAATGTGTGAATCCTACATCGACGGTGTAACGGTCTGCAACCACGTATCTCATTTACGTTTTTTTTTTTTTTTTTTTTTTTTTTTTTTTTTTTTTTTTTATACACTTACAGTATCCCACGAGGGATGATCCTGCGTTTTACCATCCCTAGAGAGCCCCGTCTACCTCTGTCCCTATTCATGCCAGCCCCAGGTAACCGTTGTTTGAGACCATCAAACACGGGTCACCTGGCCCTGGCCGGGAATCGAACCCAGAACCTCCCGATCATAGAGCAAGCGCTACAACCACTGCACCACAGGAGACCTCTTTGAAAATCTCCATTCCTACTTACTTTTTGACATAATTCTTTTAAGTTTCCGCAGAGTAATTTTCACGTATGGAGGAAAAATCACCGCAGTTTTTATTGCCAATGATGAGTTTTCATTCAAAAAATGAAGCATGACAGGAAGTCTGCGACGTCACAAACCGAGATACGTGGTTGCCGACTAACTCTGTCGATATATCAAAAAGGACGTAATCGACGTAAAGATAGATAACTTATAGATAAAAATAAGGAGGAATTAAAAATTAGGTTGAGAGGGAAGGAGAGCCCTCATTCAGCCCAAAAGTAACGAAATTGCGAATGAAAAAAAGAATCTTTTTAAAAAAAATTCGGCATGGAGACTCCTCCATGACCATTTCAGCAAAGTCCTAGGAGAGCAATCGCCTATCCTACGTATATATAGCCTACGTATTGCCATTCCTCCTCCATCCAGAGCTTTTATTCTTGAGAAAAAAAATCGATAAAACCGTAAAAGCATAATGCAATCGCTTACCTATATGGTGTGGGACAACCGAAAACTACAGTTGTTCCAGCACATTGAGGAAAAAGTTAAATTTTAATTTTTAAAACAAAATTTCTTAGGAAATAATTAAAAACGGGGTCAACCTATTTTAGAAGCCTAGCTGGATAGGCTTAGTTCTGATACTCTTTATTTAAATTTCAAACACATGTTTTTGATGTTTCATCTTGTAAGCATCATTGTGCCAATGATTGTGACCACATTTTGAAACTATGTGATAACACTCATCGTAGAGCTCCGAGAGTTTCGAGAATCAAATTGTAATTTCCTGCCTAGGTCTCTGGGTCCTACCTAATTCTACTGACCCACCAAAACGTATAATGAGCTTTAGTAATCGAAAAACTTACCGATTGATTAAATCCTAAGAAATACGAGGGACACGGCTGGACAGCAACTTGCCCGGCCGCGGTAAAAGGCCAACATGCAATGTCATCCCAGTGTTGCTGACAATAACCTATTAAGGAAACAGATTAATCCGTTATTTTTAATCCAAGTCCTGAAAGAACGTGCTATTTAAAGCAGAGTAAATGAATCGAGACATGCGAAAAGGGCGGAAGTCCAAATTTTTAAAAATTGACTTTTTTACATCGTTGGACTCTTTTAATGTATAAACATCGACTCAGTGAAGAGTGGCGGAAGTTCATTATTTTGATGTTGATTAATAGGGAAGGGAAATATTGGTGACATGTGGAGAGGGCGGAAGTCTTGGTCTATTGTTTTTTTTTTTTTTTTACGATCGATTTTTCCCCAGTTGCGAAAGGGGGAAGTCCATGTGTTAAAGGGACGGAAATCCGAATCAAAACTAAAAAATTCCCAAAAAAGCAGGTTCAAAATTTTTTTAGGAGATTCAATTCTTGTTAGTACAATAGGGACAAGCCTTCCGCGATAGAAAATATTTTTATTTTTTATTCCTACACGAAGTTTTTTGCTTCTCTTGAAAAATTGACTTTCTGGACTTCCGCCCTTTTCGCATGCCTCGATTCAAATTAGAAATCGAGTACGAGTATGGTTGAATGGAATCATTCTCCATTAAGTTTTGCGGCAAGATTTTCTTTGAAATGAGTTCCCTTGCTTTCAGTTTTCATTTTATTTTTTATCTTTATTTATTAATACATATCTCAACCTTGAACTCCAGTTCCAATCACCGCCTGTAATTAAGACTCGATACTTATACAATTTAGTCTTAGAAGGATTATTTTACATGAAGACTTACCCGCAAGAGAGCTCGTATTTTTTGTACACTCTTCGCGGATTTTTTCGCGAATGGTCTCCTGGTCCACCTCACTAATAATATAGTGTGACATTCCTGAAATACAAAATAAAATAAAAGGGTAAATGCAGAAAAAAAATAGAAAAGAAAAAAAAGGAAAGGACGAATGAGATAATGAAAGTATCACATTATTTTTCTAACATGCTTCCCATGTTTAGTTTTTTACGGGAGGAAATAAACTGTAGTATTTTGTGCTTCTTAGCGTGTTACTATGCTGTTTTTCATCGTTATGTTATTAGGTTAGGTACGGTGGCCTTTTGGGGCGCTTGGCCCCATCTTTCATACAACTAAAGGTTTGATTAAAATTGAATTCACGGTGTCAAATTTATATAAAGCGCTTAAGTATGTGTTTTCTAGGTAAGGATAAGTCCCCTAAAAAAATTAAACGTGACCGATATAATATAAAGATTAAAGAAGCTCTCTGACTCTCTAAATTTTCATTTTTTGAGGCTGTTTGTTCTGTAGATTTACTAGACAGATTTTCACGATTTTTGCGGCTATTGAGAGGTCAAAATAATATTTGTAACATCGTGAAATTGCACGCTCACTCGAATCAAACTCAAAACATAGCTCCTTCTCCAACAGGAAAATATTACATTAACGCTATGTCAGTTCGCCTTAAATTTTTAGTGTAGGCAACACGAGCTCCCACGTGGTCAAACAGTCGTATCATTACCCCTATTATTGTTTGACGGTCTCATTCTGTGAATTTGTTGGAGGCACGATACATTTTATTAGAATTACGTCAATTTATTCGAATTTAATAATATCATGCCTCAAAACCTTAAAATAGAGACTAAAATAAGGTTTTCCGAGCGCCTTTGTAATGTAAGAAAGAGCAAGGTTGAGAGATCGACGAAGGACTGAGACCCGCATATTCAGTCGAGGGCTTTTCGCATTGTTGTAATAATAGTATGAAATTACAGAACATTTTGAAATAAAACTAGAATACGTTCTTACTTGAAATTAGTGTATCATCCCAGTTGCTCATGTTTCAACTTGAGACTTGCAGATACTTGTGCTTAGTTCATACTTGCAGAATCATCTCCCAAATCCGCCAGGGCAGAATACTCCGCGTCAATTATTCACACCGTTTAATCCTGGGGGCTCACCAAAACTGATTGCACGGATGATTCCTCCTCGTCGGATGGTTAGGTTCTCTCTCAAAATTCATTCACTGACGCACCAGGCACACTTCCACTTCATGATATTTCTCCCACGATTCACTCCTGAAAATTTACCGAGACGTAAAAAGGGAGCACTGGGTATGAATGGAGCAAAAGAGCATTCATGACTCAAACGCCGTGGTGGAAATTAATGACTGAAAGAGACTCGTGCCTTGGGTTTTGGATTTAGTTGTGAAGTTTAACAGAACCTATCAATTAAGAAGGAATAAGTCCCACTTGAAGATTACGGTCTCTCTTCATTCTTAGACGTGAGTCCAATTCAGTGCATTCGATAATACTCCCGACGATTTCAAGTAGGAGGCGCTTGAATTTCTTTTTCTTTTTTTTGCAACTGCGCGCCGTCTTCAACGCCAAGAATGGGAGGTCCTTCCTCTTTCGGTAATTTGCATACCGTTTTTAGAGCTATGTGCAAAAGTGGGTAACCTCAATTATCTACAGATTATAAAGCATTCACTCGTGTGAGTAAGCTAATTCTACCTCTTCAATCTGAAGCCAGAATGGCATTAACACACGAGTACGCAACACAGTCTCTTATCACTGCATATTGTATACTAACGTTTTAAGGGAAAACGTCGTATGAGCCTTCGTGCGCGGTCAAATTTTCCCTCGATGAAACATGCATTTTCTGGAAATCTCGTGAATATTTTTCCTCCAAATTTTCAGAGGATTTGGCTCGTAATTTAACCTGAAGTGTCGGAAAAATCCAAGGGAAAATATTCATAAATTTTCTATAAAATAATTATGTTATTAAAAGAAATTTGGCAACGTCCAAATACGTCCACTCCAATCCCCAATTTGATTTTTTCGGGGGCGGTTTTGACCAGTTTTAAAAGTCTCGTTAGGATTTTCTCTTCTGTCTCATCTAAGTCTAGTTTTTACCTCCATTATCCAGCTGAAATATTTGACCTCCGAGCCTCTGGGTCAAATTATGTTCCATCACAAAAATATCATGGGACATGAAAGGGTTACCAAACGTAAGTCGCCGCAGTACGGTTCACTTTTGTGAGGCTCGTCTAAGCTGGGAATTATTCCGTTCCCAGAGGGAAAACCCCGGAAATTTAACGACAGTTAGAGATGGAATATTTCCACCATTCTGAGATAAAAAATGTTAGTAAGAGGGGAAAAGAACCGAAGGTGGATCATATATCATTCAACATTTTTCTCATTCAGATCGCGCATCAGTCAACAAAATACGATGCAATGCCAAATTGGAATGAGGCGGTAAGGAGCACGTTTTATCTTATTAAAGCACGTGAGATAAGTCATACACCTGTCATTATTTGAATAAATAAACAAACTCATGTCAGAGAGGTGTAACGCCGTTGAATCACCTGGTACTCAACCTGTTGTCCGCATGAACTACCTACTCGTCACTCTGGTGACAGGAAGACGTTTCAAAAACAATTTCAGATGTGACGTCACTTTTAGAGCTTAATCAATGAGATATTGTATCTTAATCCTGAGATGAATCCAAACAATAACTAAATCAACGCAGATGGAAATACTTTTTAATATGTTAAAACAAATAAACGTTCGATAAAAAAATTACATCTCCTTGTTTGTTGAACTAATCGGATATGATACTACTTCTTTACATATCGACAGTGAAACTACTAGACCACGTTTCTATGCCACGTTTTTACTTTCCACGTTCACGGAGTTTAAAAATCTCCGCTCCTTATTTTTTTGAAGGCGAACAAATCAATCTAATTTATTGAAATTTTCACAGAGTTTTCATCGCATACAGAGGAAAAAACACGGAAGTTTTCAAAAATTGACGTCAGGTAGTTCTCCATTTAAAAAAAAATAATGTATGACGGGAGGTCCGAGATACGTGGTCTGGTAGTTTCACCGTCGATATATTTTATTCTCATTCTTGAAGTAATTTCATTTTCCACAAATACAAGTATAATTTCTGAGGGCTCCTGAATGAAAAGTGAAATGGTTTTGAAAGCTCGAGTCTAGAAAGAGTACTTATTTCCTACCCAGGGCACAGAGGGCACATTGATAATGGAACCAGTTTTCACTACTTATCAGGAGATTTAATAATTCAGCAACGATCCAAACAAAACAACGCATATATTTAAACCGCCACGATGATACTCTCAGAATGGAATCAAGAAAAGGATGCAGTCGCACAGTTCCGAATAAAAACCACCAATTAAGCTCACTTAGCGTCCAAAGGACACCGATCAAAACACGAAAATGAGTTATTCAACTTTCATTTCTCTCTGAGGATGGGCCGATGGGGGAGGGATGAGAAGGCTAAAATTACATCTCTTTCTCTTCCTTCATCTTGTCCGGTGATGCATCAGGTGATGAAAAACTGAGAGAACCAGTGTCTTTTCAAGGCGGTTGTTCATGTTGTCGATCTAAGCTGCCTGACTGGATGCGCGAGGGGTTTCCACGCAGCCCCTTAACACGGGACTGACGATGTGCGGAAAATTCAGTTGGAGCTACTCGGATTGGTGGTGTGCCACAGCCTGTTGAGGATGAGAGGATCATCCCTAAATCCATCACCACCCCGGTGACCACACCCATTTAAGCAAGCAAGTGTCACTCAATTCTTCGACGCCTCTCATTGCGCCCCTTCGCGGAATTCGCCCGCGCCAGGAACGAGGGCACAACCGAACCGGAACTTCTGATAACAATTATCGGCAATTAAATTACATGCGGCGCTCAGGAGAAATTGATACCATGCTTCTGCCTCCCACAGCAAGAACGCCGAGACTCTATTCTGGGTATTTTAATTATTTTTCCGACAAAATGCAACTTTCCAAGAAAACTAGAAAAAATTCATTCGTAACAACTTTATGATGACTGTATCATACATCATATCGCATGGGTAGATCCAGATACTTCGAACGGGGAGGGGGGTGGAAGGGGGATCATGGGAGCTTCCTCATAAAATTTTCAAAATTTTGAAGCGTTTAATGTGCAGTTCGAGTAAATTTCGCCTCTAATAAACATAAAATATAAGCGTCCTTCCTTTTCCTCTCCTCCTTTCTGTCCTCTATCTTTCTTTGTTCCCTTATTCTTCCTTCTTTTTTTCGGGCGAACGGGGGGGGGGGGCTTACGCTCTCTACGCCCACCATTGATGCAACTGCGTAATATCGAGAATTAATTAGAAGTATATGTAAGTGCTGAGATTTATTCTTTTAATACATGATATTGTCGGAATCAAAATTGCAAAATCTGTTATTGACTTACGGTGTCCTTGCTTGAACAGTAAGAGTAAGCTTACACTTTATGGGTCGGTCGTATCCATTAATCGTTCTTCAAATAGCTCCTTTCTTCAGGAGGTCCCACGGTTCGATTGGCTGGGTTTAAATGTTATTCGGTTACGTAGGATTTGAGTCTTTCAGTGGAGATAATCATTCCTCTAATTTTCCTTACTCTAGAAAAAATAAAAATACTATATTACACAACTAATTTCAATCATTCGAGAATATTTATTTGCAACCTGCTTGTAGTTGCTAATGCTATGTCATGGAACATCATGAAAAAATACGTACTTTAATTCCTGTAAAATTATACAGACAGGAGAATCTTCGAATATTTGTTGATCCGTATTGTTTTAGTGAACATTGTGATAGCTCTCTCAAGAAGCTATTAATAAAATTAAGAAAGGGAAGTGGTGGGCTAAGAAGGAAAGAGGGTTATATTGGCAATACAATTTTCAACGAGAAGAGGGTAAACAAACTTTCGTCCACACCCTTTTAGTTAATAAGGGGCACCCTTTAATTTGATGCGCTTCGTAATCCAATGATGAACTGTTGATGCAAAGTGAAAAATAAATGAGACCTAATCTCGATAACGATTCCTTTACCACTTATTTACACCATTCAAGACCCATTCTGTAATGAACATCGATGGTGCAAGTCCGTAACCAGAACCACGTATCTTGCTTGCGGTGTTTGAAAATCTCTACCATTTTACTTTTTTAAGGGAGAACAAAGCAGCATCATTCCATGAAGTTTTCGCAGAATTTTCTGCGCGCATCGGAGAAGAATAACCACGGCAGTTTTGAAGAATTGCCATTGAGTAGTTTCCTATTTAAAAAATTGAGTATGACAGGAAGTCTGCAACGTCGCAGACCGAGATACGTGGCTGCTGACTTACACCGTCGATATGAATGAACTGTTCCAGGAAAACAATTTTTCTAAAATTCGAAAGAAAAAGGAAAAAATTAAAAAAATTGATACACGCTTAAAGAATGACAATATTTAGCGATACATTATATTTACAAAAGAAGCTATTTCTCGTTACATTACGGTGTGAGTAAAACAAGCGAAGCGCCATTTAATTAGTGTCGAATGCGACGAACATTATACAGATTTCATTTTGACTCCTGGATGCAACTATTCGAGCTTCATGGACGTCCGTGTTGCATACGCATGAGAGTGAAGGCGTTTTGACTGTCCAGTCCAGGCACTCTTCACTCTACCCGCGGCGCGGCGCAAACGGCGGGCATGGATTCAGACTGGCAGGGTGCACACAAACAACCAATAAACAAGGTGCCAATTTAAGAAATCTGATGCATGATTCATAACCAAAATTTCACGTAAAAGACGATTCGTGCAACGATAATCACTGAAATCAACTCCTAACTAAGATTTTTTTTGTTTTGTTTTTTCATTGATTGCGGGAATTTCGAATTTCCCTCTCAAGAAAAAAACAGGTACTTTACTTGAATTAAAATTGCGCATTGCAACTGTTTTGGCATCGAGCGATGCCAAAACAATTTTCAGACAGACTCATTCGCATTATAGACATACAATCCTGTAAGAAACTGAAACTTCCAATTATCGTTCCAGCTTTTTTTTTATTTATTTATGTTTTTTATTTTTTAAATTGAAATCACATGGTTATTGTACCTCACCGATACAGTCTGTGAGACCGACGAATCTTGAAAAAGTAACAAAACAAAAAGTTAAGAAAAGTAGTCTTAATTTTAGATCAAATTTTCGAGCGAGGCCTCGGACTGGCCGGTGATAGGAAATCCTTAAAAAAGATGGAGTTAACTCTTATATGATTTTGGGATGAGGGTAACGGCCCTGTCGGTGGCCGAAAAGGAATGTCTGAAATGGGATACGATTGTCTATGTTCCGCTGACGCATGCCTCAGCCTTTTAGCGCAAGTCACTGAATGTTTACGTTGGAATTGACCAAGAGGGCATCCTATCTACATCGAAAAAAAAAAAAAAAAAAAAAAAAAAAAAAAACAGAATTCCTGAATGTGTTCCTTCCTTCTTCCTGCGTTCCCGCCTTTTATTACTCAGCCGCGAGAGTTGAGAAGTTAAATATAAGCCTGACGTGAAAGGATCGCCTTGAAACAATAACCAGTTCAGCAAGAGGGAAGCCGATGCTCAATCGTCCGATCTGATTTATTATGGTGCCTGAGTTCGTGCCGCACCCTTAAGGATCCCTCAAACAACCTTGAGGTAGCCGTTTCCCGTTTTTAGCTCCCTTCACTGGCCCTCTTCGCAATCCCAAAGTGGAGTGAAAAATATTTTTTGTCGTACTTCATCTTCTTGTGTTTGAGGGCGCTAACATTTCGTGCTTGACCTCTGCATATCTAATTTGTAGAGATTCTCCTGCGTGCTTTCTCCCTACATTTCCATCTTCATATCCTTCACCATCTTCCTTCTCATCCTCTTCTATTTATTCATCTCCTATTTCCTTTTTCTCCTCTTCTTCTTCTTCCTCTTCTTTTTCTTCATCACTTCTCCCCATCTTCTTCTTCCGTTTTTCTCCTTTCTCTTCCTCTTTTTCTTTTTCTTTTTCTCTTTCATTATATTCTTCTAATTTTTATCATTCTCGCCTCATTTTATTCTTCACTTCGGTCTTCTTTCGCCTCTTCTTCCTCTTTTTCATTACTTCTTCTTCGCCTTCATTTTATCTTCTTCCTCTTCATTTTTTCTACTTCTCCTTCATCTTTCTCCTCCTTTTTCTCCTTCATTTTTCCTTCTCTTTCTTCATTTTCCCCTCTCTTTCTTTGTTCGTCTCTTTTCCTCTCCTTCTTTTCTCCTGTTTATTTTTTTATTTGCTCGCGTTTTCTTATTCTTCTTCTTCTTTATCATTTTCTTTTCCTCTTAGACCCTGAAGGAGGGAAGCCTTTGATAAAATTTTGAAAAACTGAGTGAGCTTAGGAGCCAATATGAGCTGTTCTTGCCAACAAATTGATTGAAATACATTTTCAAAGATGAGAAATGATGTATCACGGACTTATTTAGCAAAACTCTTTACATTCGATGGAGGAGATGAATTAAATTTTAGGGGAGGGGACACACCTCCTGCATATGGCTCCTGCCCAACTCTGTTCTAAGGCATGCTTAGAAAATTAGGGATGCAGTGATATTCATTCGAGAAAAATCCTAAAACATTTCTATTTTTATTTATTGTTACTAAAGAAAGTTTTCACCAGTTTTGTAGAGCACTGCGAGCTGCACAAGACTCCGCTGTAATGTAAAATTCGTGTTTAGCACACATACCTGTGTGCTAATCTAACTGTATGGTAAAATTTTTCGTGGCACCACGTAATGGGAGCAAGGAAAAACCAAAGTGCCTTCATATAACTGAATATGCAACGCGGACATCCTAAGAGCATTAATAGTTGCATTCAGGCGCTGCCATCAAAGTCGCTATTATGTTGCTCGCTGGTCAATGCGCTGTTAGATAGTGGTTGATGATACAAAACCCTATCTCAAACATGCAATATATATCCCATTTCGATGTCTCGTCGTGCTAACATACATTGGAAAAAAAAACAAAAAAAAAACACACATTGGATCTAGAGTCCAGACTCTTGAAAACATCGAAAAGAAAAAATACTCTTGATTCAATCAGATTTAAGCTTAAATCAAAAGGAAATTCGCTCAAATTAAGAGGCTTGGTTCTTGATTTAAGCTTAAATCTGATCGAATCAAGAGTTCTTTTTCTTGTCAATGTTTTCAAGAGTCTGGACTCTAGATCCAATGTGTTTTTTTTCCTGTGTGTGTCAAAAATGGAGTAGACTAATGCCAGAATTTTCCTGACTTCTTGTATAAATAGCCGTGTTTTCTTTTCTGTGTAGAGACGAGAGGGTGGTTGCATGAAGCGAACAGTGCGATCGATGTTAAACACCGAACTTACGGTTTACATGACTGAACTTTTTTTCTCAGAGCAAAAAAATCGAATATGGGGAATTTTTAAGGGCTGATAGAGAGGCTCAGAGAGGCTCTGTCCCCAACTTTTTTTTCCAGTGTAAAATTCAATTATCGGCTCGCTGGTTTCATTAAACCTAATAGCAAATTTCTTGCATTTTCCAGTATTATTCCTTCTTATGCTCTTCTCTTTCAGTCGTTTTGTAAAGTTTAGCTCTTAAAGCTTAATTAGATATTCTTTTAATTTTTTTTTTCTTGAGTGATAAAATTCTCCAAGACTGACTAAGTTAACACACTATCCTTCCCCTTAGTTCGACAGGGAAGGGAGTGGGGAAAAGAGAAGAAAAGAGTGCTTAAATTTGATTTAAATGCGTGATTAAAATAATGTAAAGAGAAATTTTTTCCTCTCTCCTTCCTTTTTTTTTTTCTCGAAGGACCGCAGAAACCGCTGTCCCGGGCCGCCGGATCATCTCGAAAAGACATCTCGATTCCAACAAATTAAGTCAATTTTGCGCAACATTTAGAAACAACGATGACGATTAACCGCACGATGTGCTAGCGTCAAACCCCCAGAAAGCGCACAGAGGAAACGAGAAGATCCCAAAATAAAACCAAGAAAAAATGAAGAAAGAAGGGAACAGGAGAGTAATAAAATAAATACGGAGAGGCGGAACACCCACTGGCAAAGGAATCTTGTTTGATTTGTCCGACTGGGGGCTAGGCCCCTCCTACACTTTGGCAGAGGATACACGAAAACCGAACACCGCCACCGGGTCCCGAATTCTCTTGCTCATTATCTCCAGTTTTGCCTTCCTTCCGCGGGCAAATGCGTCATCCCTTCGTCGTGCATCCTCGGTGTTTACAAAATCTGTGTTTTTCCGCGTTTTCTCGTGTTTTGGCCATGCGTTCAACCCTTGCTGGTCAACTATTCTAAACACCTTCAGCTTTAGTACTTCAAAAGCTGATAACTAACAAAAAAACTTTTACTTTTCTTCGAGTTTGAAAAGTGCCAGCAGACCAATCCCAAAACGTCAGTGAAAGTGACAACTTTTCATTTTATCGGATTAACAGTGATTACGGGGATTACATTGACCAGTGTGCGAGGTGTTTTTCTTGCGCTCTTTCCAGTTTTACTACCGGTAATTTTGACTTTTGTACAATCGAGTTTAAAGTGCGTTGTTATCATTCGACAATTATCCATTTCACTCTCCACCATCTTTTTGGTTTGCTTATTTTTAGCGAAAATTTTAATAGTGACAATTGTGAAAAAACGCGTTTTCCTTGGTGACAATCGAACTCCACATAAAACAATGTTTTATTAGCTTATCTTCATGCGGATAAATCTTAATTTACGTTGCGTTAAAATGGACAGTGCGGTGATCAAATCGTGATAAAGTTCCGTTAAAACAACTCAAGTTTACACAAAATCGGTTATGAGTGCTTTTTTGCGATACTAAGAAGCATGCCAAGCACAACCCTCGTCCCGCTCAAAGTCGCCTCGCCGAACGGCAGCAGTGCACATTCTCAGATCATGGACAGCCCACCCAACTGCGGAGGAACTACATCCAAAGTGGAGCCCCATCACTACGAGGTCTACCACCAGGAGAGGTACGGGTACCCCGACGCAATCCCAGTGAACCCAACGCCGATCAAGGCGGAGTCCCTCATGGATTTAAGTCTTCAGCGGCCGATGCAACTGATCAGATACGACCCGCGAGTCCTTCAGATCAAGACTGAAGACCCGGTCCCTCACCAGTTCGACTCGGACTCCAACGACGAGAACTACAACTCCATCCAACAGGCGAACGTTTCCTCGACCTACCTGCACGACCTGTCGTCCGCGGTCGTCCGCAAGAGGAAGCGCGACGTCCTGGCCTTCCCGCAACAATCGCAGGAGGGCGCGTTCCACCGCTCCTTCAAGAAGAGGATCGTGTCGCACGCGCAATCACAGTCGCCGTTCTGCGACGCCAACAATCAGCGGATCATGGCGAACGTGCGCGAGAGGCAGCGGACGCACAACCTGAACGAGGCCTTCGCGAGCTTGCGGAAGATCATCCCGACTCTGCCGTCGGACAAGCTGTCCAAGATCCAGACGCTCAAACTGGCCGCCCGGTACATCGATTTCCTGTACCACGTCCTCCAGTGCGCCGAGACGGAAAGCGGGGGCCTCAGGTCTTCGGAGAAAGGCGGCGATGAATCTAGAGCCGGTGAGTACAAGAATTTTTATCTGGGGGTAACAGTAGACTGATTATCGAAACTGATAGACAAAGGTATACTGTCCTTTGCTATGGAAAAACGCCGTATGATCATTCAAATGTTGCCAAAACTTTTTATTTTTGAAGAAAGTCATGAATATTTTTCATATAAATTTTGAGAATTTTTGGATCAAATTACGAGCGAAATCCTCCGAAATATCCGTAGAGAAATATTCTCAAAGTTTCCTGAAAATTCGTAATTTGTCGAAGAAAAGTTGGCAATGCCTGATGGCTCATACGGCTCTCTTCCTTAGCACGGTAGTATACGCGAGCAGAACTACGAATGTTATCAGGATGTAAGGCCAAAAACGTCAAAAAGAGTAGCGATGACTGACTAAATGCCGCGTCTAGTTTTTGCAGGCGCAGGAAAAGCAGCAGCGAAAGTAAAAGCGTCTCTTATTACTGACCGGAGCATGGCTGAAATTGAACAAAAAAAGTTGAAGGATCCGTCCTGCACGGAAAAGATTGGAGAGAATTTCTCTCCTTTTTAAGGAAAAAAGGGACAGAACGCTAAATCATATCTACGAACACAAATTTTCACCTCTTTCGGCCCTTAAATTAACTAATTCTGAGAGAACGATCCCTTGTCACATAAAATTGACAAAGGAAAATACTTTAAAAGCTTTTTTTTTATAGAATCTATGCGTTAAATTCACTTGCCCTCCGTGTTTGTGAGGTTTTAAATATTCATCAGGTTTTGATTTTTTAACGACGGAAATTAAAATACCAGTCAGGGTGGAAATTATGCACCAAAATCAAAAATAAATTTGATTTTTTAAGATAACTGCGGTCCAAATTTTTTTAAATTGTTAAGAATCTTTATCTTTTAACTTGGTGGTAAATCCACCACTTTGAATTCACGTAAGGAAGCGATCTTGAAACAGCAGGGAACCGCAGGATGAAAAAAAATCTTATTTGTATCAGTCTAATGATAAACTTTCTAAATATTTGCGCTCTCTGGTTCTCCCTGCTCAACATAACTTTATAGATGCACGAGATTCTGAAAAGCCGAAATCCATTAAAGCCGGGAAATTCAAATTTAATCGAGCTCCTCTCTACTCAGCCACTTCATCATTTTAGGATTATAGAATGAGAACTTTAGAGTTTGGTTTTGGCTCTCTCTCCTCGCAAAAGGGAAGGAGCCCCAACGGGAGGAGGGGCTTTTATGCGCCCTCAAAATTTGAAGATCACCAAGAAAATTTTTTAAAGATTTTAAGTCCAGACTGCGAAAACATTTGAAAAAAAGTTACTCTTGATTCAAACAGATTTTTGCTTGAATCGAATTCCCAGCCTCTTAATTTCAATTTTCAAGCCTTTAATTTAAGCAAAAATCCGATTGAATCAAGAGTATTTTTTCTTCTTAAATTTGTGTAGACTCTGGATCCTGGATCCACGAGACTTTTTTCCATTGCACCATGGAGCAGGTAAAAATAAACCGATAAAAACTCCATTTTTTGGAAGAAAAGGTGTTTCACAATCAGCATGAGTATCGGTCGGCAAAATCACTACGCTAGATTCTAATTCAGAATGGGTTCAGGTATAAGTTATCAAAAGCAGAATGGGCTTAGAAACTTAGAAAGATTTTGAAAATTGGTCACAAGTAAAGGCATTGTTAATGCGAAAATGTATATCTTTATTTTTCAATTTCTTCGCAATTTGTTTGATTCCCCTTCCCTTATGTAACGAGACATAACGCAGCCTTGGACCTCCCTGTAGTGAATTACGTAACGTTTGGCGGACACTATATCCCACCCCCATCTTCAGATATTGGCCAAAGTAACAAATGTGGCAAAAAAATTTGGTCCAGATAAGGGAAGATTTGACGCACACAACAATTGAATAACTAAATTGTGTGGGCATGAGACATATACAGGTGTCACTGGTTCTTTTTCCGTCGAATTTTGTCAAAGTTTAATGCAGTTACCCTAAATATTTTAATGACCTAATGCGCCTCTATGGCACATTCCCTCAGATTGGCAGGCAATTAATTTAATCCGATGATCAATCTAGCAATACACTCTCGCATCTTGCTAAATTTCTTAACACATTAATATCTTAGGTATTTATTATTTTGCAAGAAATTCGTCGGACATTTTTAAGCCACTAACGGTAAATAGAAAAGTATAGAGGTCATAAATAGAAGAAAAGTATAAGAGTACCATGATTATTCTACCTGTAATCGGAATAGACACTTTTTCTGTCCTGACACTCTTGCCAGACCGTGTAGTGAAACCAGTGACGTTAGTTGGGTTTAATTTGGACCGGCAACTAAACCAACTGTGTGACAAAGCGTAAAGTGTCACAAAAATATGAAGGCGCTCCAAGCCGAGATTGTGCTTTTAAGGGCCATTACCAAAGAAACCTTTAGTCGGAAGACGCCCCTCATTGCGATTTATCTCAAAAAACCATAATAGGGACTTGCACATAGCCAGCAAATGCTAATTACCTGCGACGTAAACATTCTCACTTCAGTGTTGCTTCAAAATCAACCATCTACCATAGGTTACTCGAAAAATTGAAGTTCCCCTTAAAGACGAGTTCATAAGTTTTCTTCCGTTACATATCGACTGCGTAACTTCCAAACCACGTATCTCGTTTGCAGTTTTTTATTTCTTTTCAGGCGAACAGATACACATAATTCCCTGAAGTTTTCACAGAATTTTCATTGTTCAGCGACAAAAATCACACATTTTTTTTTAGAATTGACGTTAAGTGGATCGCCTTTTAGAAAATAAGTATGAAAGGACGCCTGAAAAGTCACAAACCAAGATAAGTAGTTTGGCAGTTTCACGGTCGATATTCTATTTCAATTACAGCATTTGTCTTGCAGGCACGGCTGCTTAAACATTCTTTGTGCCCATTTCGTTCTAAAAAAATGACTTCAGATACTGATACTGCTAGCTTAAGCCGAGTAATTAGGAATAATACCGTCACCTTCCGGTCAAAGTATCGCAAGCGCCATGCGACATAAAAATTTCCGCCGTCATTTTATTTTTTATACAGGGAGATTGTTCAATGAAGCTTTCCGAAAATTTCACTGAATTTTCTGTGTGCTGTCGATAAAATCCAGTGGAATTTTCAAACAGACTCAACCAACAATTTTTCTATAAACCACCACGGCCGAAACCAGCCTCATGTTGGGGTGTTGGGGGCGAAACGCCGAAACGGGTGATAATTGAAACCCCCCGGCTTCTGGACTGTGCCGGGTCCGGGAGAATAGGGTGGTTAAACTGTCATATTTTCGCGAAGATTCGCCATTTTTCTCTCGATTACACAATAATAAAAATAAATAAATAAATCCGTAATAAAATAAAATACCGGCGGAAATTTTTGAACATTGCACGGAGCTTGTGATACTTTGGCCGGAAGGTGACAATACTGCAATCTGCACACTACTCTCTCCTTGGTACAATACTTCTCATCGCCAACTGCGAAAGTCAGCCGTATCCTCAAATACCTAATTAACCTCGAGGCAATGTATTTCGGTAGTTGCCCCTCCTTTCCGCTTGATTAGTTCCTACGACGAGGGTTAAGGATGTCCCGCCAGGCGGGCGTCTTGATTTATTATGCTGCCTTCCACAGCGAAAACGTCGTATCTACATTCCAGATTTTACAAGTTTTCCTTCACAAAATGTTGTATAATAGAGAAACCTCAGAGCTCTCATCTCTCATAATTTTAGAGTGATGACGGCATAATCCTGAGAACTCAAACTGAGAAAATTAAGCTAAATGGTAATTAGGATTTCTCGCGATTGAGCCGTATTCATGGAAGAAGAATGCAACATCTTGATTGGAGTTACAATTTTGTCACTATAGATGGCAGTATGACTCCCACCTACTACTTGAAACATTGCACCAAAACATGATACGCTACGTATCAACTGGGGGAGTGTCCGGGTGATGGGGAGGGGTGGAGGGGGGAGGGAGAGTCTTACCCCCCTGAAACGCTCTGATTGTTCGTTCCCACCACATATCAGTAGAAAGTAGATCCCTGTCAAAAGTAAATTGGACCTTTGCCCTCCCCTTTCCCCCACCCACAGAACTTTTCAAGTTAAGCTTATGAATTTTTGCACGAGGCGCATCAAGATAATTATTTTGATCACACTTTTTGGTAACTTTTACTCAATATGTACAATATTATTCCACTGAATCCCTTAGATGATCCATTCAGAGAGTCATTTCAATCACGATTTCTGTAAGTGTTGGTGTCAATGAAATGAATGTCTAAAGGAAAAACTAAATTCCCCAAGAGAAGTTTCGATTCCAAGAGTTGATTAGGTATATTTGTTATTTTTTTTCCTCAACTCAAAGACTATAACCTACTTTTTGCTTTTTCACGTAACTTTACATAATGAAAAAAAAGGTGAGAGCTAAGTAAGGAAAAGAAACTTTGCAATAAGATCTGTGGTTTTAGTGCTGAAAACTTGGAAAGCTTTCAACCACCGTACAGTCCGTAAAATTTATAAGATACCGTTTAAATTATTGAACTATGAGCTTGAACTGCGCTAAAATACGCTTTTGTCAATTTCCATTTTTCTATCTGAACTTAAACGATAGGAAATATAGTTGCTAAATGCTATAGTTACTCGTTAACGTCATAGGCCTGATTATTCTTCCTAGACGCTTTACTTACTATTTTCGACATCTGGTATTGGTCATATTGCATTTATTGGAAAACACATATTCCGAAATTTCATCCATAGCCTGTTCTCTGAACGAGATAGTAAAATAATGCTGGGTCCACACTATTATGCGGCAAAGGTGAGGCCAGGGCAAAAATTCTAAAAATTTAACCATCGTGACAAATTTTAACTCTATTAGCTCAAGACTGAGAGGGGAGAGTGTTCACCTCAGGCAGATGCAGGTCTTTTTGGACTGTATCAGTAGATCACACTTTTCAGTGCATCTGCCAATGCATCTGCCTGAGCTCTCCTCCTTCAATCTTGTACCGATACTCATTAGAACTCAAATTTTTGGCTCTGATTACAATTATTCGAATTTTATGATTTAGCTCTCCCTGCAAAATAGTGTGGACCCAGCACTGTTTTACCACCACGTTACATACAGTTTGCACCAAATTTTTACTGTTTTATCTTGCTGGTTCTCTAAATTGGACGTATTTCTGCCGAACGGAACTATGGACAAGTGGGAAAGGTGGGGCGTGCTCTAGGAAGCTGCTTAAGAAACAGTGTAAAAGTAGGCGTAGTTCCATCTGAAGAACTGGAAAAGCAGGATTTTACATTCCATCAACTGAATGCGGCACTCATGAGCCATGGGCAAGTGACAAGAGCGTTAAGGACAGAGCTCATGGGTTAAATGACGTCAACCTGAATCGCCGCGTCCCCGTCGCCGCCGCTGACGTCACTGGCGCTTTATAACTCCCATTCATTCTTACGGCCCTTCACTAGCGAGCACACCCCTTCTTTCCCACCTGTCTCTGGTTCCGTCTGGCAAAAATACGTCCAATTGGTACTTTTGCCTCATCAGTTTTGGGGTGTTTTGTTAGATTTATTTAATTTTATTTTATGTATGTATGTATAAAGCCGCTTTTATAGCGCTCTTTGGCGCTCTGCGACCCCTAGCCGCCAAAGTCTCCTATCCACCCAAAGCCCTTCAGGGAGTTGGCAAACCCTCATTTCTTCTAAAACCCCCTGTGACCACCCTTTCACTGGGTGTCCCCTTCGTCTCCTCTCAGGAGGACCCCAATCAAGCAACTTCTTTGGCAGCCTTTCGTCCGTCATTCTATTGACATGACCATACCAGACAAGCTGTCTGGTTATGACGTCGAATATGATGTCATTTATTATTTATTATATTCATTATTTATGATGTAATTTTATTGTATAACTGGTAAAAATGTTTGTTACATGTTTTGGTCGTTTATTTGTGTTTAGATACTGAATGCGAGCGTTCCAGTCCGATGCCACGACTTGGCGTAACTCCGTGCTGTTACATGGCCCATGAACGCCTCAGCTACGCGTTCAGTGTGTGGAGAATGGAAGGAGAATGGAGTTGCTCAAACGAAAACATCGGCAAATTCTCAGATACCTCTGATTCTGCATGATGACTGTCCATTGGATATACTGCGCTCATAGCGTTCAAACCCTATATCCTAACGATTGTACCAGAAATGATCTCAGATCAATATTGAATGACCACTTTACATTTCATTTCATCCTAAGTAATAATTCAATGGATTTGGAAATAATTGCTCTTTAGCCTAATATGCATTTATGATGTAATGCAGTTCGTGGCTTGCGAACATATGGTTGACCTTATCATGGACGATTATTTCTTCTTTATTTTTGTTTTTGTGACATAGGATACTTCAAAATTGGTTGCAGATAATGTTTGACTGTGATAGTGTGATGTTTAATAGGAAACATTGAGAAATGTTTCACTGTGGCTTAACTGATTTTACTGGGTGCCTTTGTAATATGATATTTATTGCGGGCAATAATATCTTTTTATTACACATGAAGAGTTATTTTTTTCTTTAAGTTTCATTGTTACAATATTGTAAATGCTTTGTGTATATATTTTCCAAATATAAAATTAAGTGCGAACCAATTGTATTACAGTTGTATATCCATTTTACAGAAATTACGATTTCACGGGGATCTACTCTTAGTATTCCTGCGAATGCAAATTTACTAATTTGTGTAGGGAAATATATTTTGTACTTTTTTTCAGAAGACGAATTAAAACCCCGAGAGTTTTAATATTTTAATGAGAAGAACGGAGAGAGCGCTTAGAGGTATTTTCGTACCGTCCAAGATTTGAGTCGACGAAAAAAAATTAATAATAAAGAAAAATTTAAAGTAAAATATTAAGTAAATACGATTATATTGCTAGACGCCTACATACTTCGATGGAAAAGTGGAGAGTGCACTAGAAAAAAAGTATCGCGATCCCAATTCTATACTCCTGGCTGATTTTTGCGCAGGTACAAGAGTATTTGCACCAGCCAGGTGCCTAGTTGATCTAACCACACTTTTGACAGACTCAACCGTACCTCTGACTGATGCAACTACTCTCATATCTGGTGCCAAAATCAGCCAGGAATCATAGTTGGGATTGTGATGCTTTCTTTTACGTGTAAGTGAAACATATGTTTAGTTCTGATTCTTTCAGTCCGAAAATGACATTAATTTAAAGACGCGAAGGACTATTATGCATGACAGGAATATTTCAATGATTTTAGATTTAAATCGGCAAATCCTTTAAACCAAAACGAAAAATTAATTAAAATAATTTGTGTTTCTTAGTTAAATCCATTTTTTCTTTTCAAACAAGGAGGAGAGCGGATACAAAATGAGAATCTCATTTTTAGCTAGAAGTTTAAGAGCTACAAAATATCAAATTGCAGGATTGGATATCAGCTTTACTTTCTATAGAATTATATCAGAAGGAGGGCATGAAACCTGAGATAACTTTTAAGTAATTTCCGCTAAAATAGTTTTTAGACCATTATTAATAACCGTGCGGCCTTTTATTCATTAATACCCCTTGGACAACCCTGTTAGTCACATGAGAAATTCACATACGTTGTTATATATATTTTTCCTAGAATTACTCATCAAAGGGGCGTAGCATTCAAGCATTCAGCAACAGATAACAGATACTTAGAATACTCACTTGTTGCTCTCAAGTATGCTACCACGATGACTTACAATTTTTGGAGATGACCAAATATTGATTTATCAATCTCAGGATGAATCTATCTAGATGGATAGGGATGACTCAGAAAAAATTAGAATAAATGAAATAACTTGGAATTCAGAAAAATAAATGGGCATTGTTTCTTAAAAGGGAACTGAATGACATCAGCTGTTGTTAACTTTTATTGGACTGTTTATTTTTGTCTAAAAAAGAAACATTGTGCCAATTCGTTTGAAAATTTGGACTTTTTTTTATGTCTTAGGAAAAATTCCCCGAGACTTTAAAAAAGCCAGTGCAACCATCCTCGAATAAAAAAATGAACTGTCCAATGAAATCTGGCAGCAACTGATGTCACTGACATGGTTTCCCTCGAAAGACGCTATGCCCAAATCGGACCAATTGGGATGATTCCGAATAAAAGAAATAAATAATTTTTAAAACTATAAAGCAACAGGAAGCCCCTAAGTAGCCCTGCAATTGCCACCGTTCTTTTACAGTTGTGCGGTTGCAGTTTTGCAAAATTCTCGTAACAATTTAGTTTTCACAAAAGTAATTTAAAAGTGCTCTCTCCGATTTCGATCAGCATTTTTCCATTGACAGATCCAGCAAATTGGCAACATTGCTCTTCTCCATTTAAACTTATGGAAATGTATCGATTCTTGGAGGGGCCAGGTGCTCCGACAGTAATCCGACAGTAATCGATTATTTAACATAGGTTTAAATGGAGGGAATCCGGTGTTGCCAAATTGTTGGATCCGCCTTTCATTTTTCCTGCAGTCGCTCTACGACAGCTCCTCGTCTGGATATTGTATACTTGAAGTAAAAGATGGAGTGTGTGAGCAGGTAAGTAAAGACTTTAAAATATCTAAGAAAATAGAAATTTTAACATATAGACTCCTCGAACATGGTGTGGGCATTGAGCAATGATCATGCTGCTTTAGCAATATGTTTTTCGCTAAAATTGGGAGTGATTTCCTTCATATTAACTGCAAGTAATCTCTAAATACAGCTATTAGCTAGAGTAGCAGGTTTTTATTTTGGCGAGTATCTCGAACGGACGGGGTAAAAGCCCAAAACGTCCAATTTTAAAAGTCAAAAGTGATCTCAGGACTAGTTTTCAGGAGCAAGCAACCTCCCTCACTCCTAATTTGTAGTTTTTAGGACGAACTTCAAACATTTCAAATGAGAGAGTTTTTTTTTGGTGGTTAAACAAACGAGTTGACTTCAGTTTTTTGGGGGAAAAGTCTGGATTTAATGTCAATACATATACCATTCCAATTTGGAATGTTTGACTTGTTATCTCGCGCGACCTCAAAATTTGGGTTGAAGGGCGCAGTTTCTTGCACCGAATGTGGCAAATCCAAAGAAGGTTATTGACATATATTCTTCCTGTATATTATTTTATTTATTGAAGCTGGCGAAGTGAGCATTCATACACTTTGCTTGAACAGTTCTCCAAAATTTTCACAATATTCCCTACACACCAAAAAACAGGCCTCAGGGAAAAATCGCCCGGAATCGCCGTGAAATATCTTCGATTTTGCCGTTGAATCCAAATCCGCGAACTTTAAACATAGGTGTGCTGGTGAAGTAAAAATTCCTCAGACCGCATCGGAAATGCCCCCCCTCCCCCCTCCCAAAAAAACCTCCTGAAGGATTCTATAAAGGGACTGTAATTATTTTCTTCAAATCTCTCTAGGTCAAAATAGTTGACAAAAGTTTTGAGGCCAAATCCAACTTTAAGCTTTTTCCTGCTGAAGATAGTGGACGGGTGGTCTCAATCACCCTAGATATGACAGCAAAGTAATAAAAATAACTTTAAATATTGATTGAATGAAAGATCAACTTAAGACAACACTCATTTTTCACAGCAGTAAATTTTTAATTTTTTCAATAAGTATTCCTTGGCAGGGTGAAATTCTAAAAGAGCTTCTGTTGATTCGATATTGTTAATACTTGATATTTAATTAATAGCTTTCAAAATGCTTTTTCCAAATTTTTTTGCGTTACAAAATATTAAAAAGGAGAGCGCCTATCTTGACGTTTACACAAGATTTACACAATTTTTTTTTTTTTTTTTTTTTTTTTTTTTGTGTCGCACCAGGTGCTTTTAAAATTTCCAAGGAAGGATCTGGATCCGTACCTAGAAAAATTTTGCCTAACAACAAACCTGCACAGGAAAAATGCAGGAAAATGCGTCTTATAAATGTTCACCATTATTTTCTGATTTCTCCCTTTAACGGAGCATTTATATCATCCCTCATTGGTTGCTGTCGTGCGATTCGTTAGACTCATAAGATTCGACATTTTTAGGGAGGAGATTCACCCGAGGAGTATCTTTCTCACCTGTTCTACCTGTCTCACCTGCTCACCTCTGTATTGAAGCTCCGCCTACTTTCGAAGGATCCTTTGAATGGAGGACCATTGGGCCAGAAATGGTCGTTCCTAGTTCCTCTTCAAAGCCATTTATATATTTATTTTTTTGGTATTCATCCGATTTTTGAGGCAAAAATTCGTCCACTAATTCATTCAATTGAGAGGTTCGGAGGACAAGGCGCAAAAGTGCAATTGTTGTAAAAATCGAGAGATTAATTATTTCAAGTAAAACTAGTCTTACTGCATATTCTGTGACCAAGTTCGCTCCCAAATTCCAATTTTTAAGCATCAAAAAGTCAGTTTAAACTTGCTTTCTGTCAAAAGGATCCATGTTTTTTCGAAATTCCGAACACATATTTCTCGAAATAGCAAAAACTACACTTACGCGCATTGTCCTACAAGCATATCAATTCATCTTTTAGCTCGTCCACGATATTATTACGAATTTCAAATTAATAAAAAAAAAATAGAAGGCATGAATGTATACATATGTATGCCTATTGCATCATAGACCTTGCTATTCACAGACATACCATTCCTGCCCTTCTGTAACGCGCTTCTCTAACTAGCTTTGTAGCCCTCACCAACTTGGTGAAAAAAAGAGAAATTCTTAGGTTTAAAAGATCCCCTCACGTGTTAAAGAGGGAGGATGAGAAGATGAGAGTGGAAACATTAAGGATAGGATCGGGGGTAAGGACACCGATCTTCACCGGTCGAACTGAATATTTCAAAAAAAAAAAGAAAAAAAAGAAAAAAGAAAAAAGGAATTGAAGGAGGAGAATAATGCCAGGAAGGAAATTTCCTCTTCACCCATTGATCCGCATTTTGTTTTTGAAGCTATTAAAAATTCATTTACATTTTACGATACCGTCAGGGTCGACTTTGCTTTGAAACAATAAGTGTTCCGTCTTTACGACTTACCGCGCTCCCAACAGTTTTTATTATCAAAGGCACCGGTGTTTGTATCAACCTTCCACTATTCCCGATTTTCTTAGCCTGGCTAAGAATGAATCAGTGAGTTCGAAAACACACGAACTCGGAAAAAAAATTGTTCAGGAAACACCTAAAACTGCGCAGCGGGCGAAGAAGTTAGTTTAAGCAAAACCTTTTTGGTGCCAAAGGACAAGTACTTAGAGACTTTGTAAAGCACCAAGTTGAAATCGATACACCATGTTTGATGACAGAGAATTAAGCGTTTAAAAATTTCCGAGTTGGTGTGTTTCCGTTCTCACCGACTTTCAGATACTGATTTTTCATAGTCTGCCCTGAAAAGTTTATATTTTTCGACCTGAATAACGCTTGAATATTCATAAAACTTGTTGGTACAAGGTATACTGAACCGAAAAAAGAAAACTGGAAAATTGGATGGTCAACCGTTTCCCTCAAAATGGCCATGAGGAGATCACAAGTCAACCTTTAATTCAGGTTTAAGTTTAATCACAAATGTTAAACATTAGAAAAAAAATGAAAATTCCCAAAGGAATTCTCCTATGACCACTCATGCACCACTTTCGACAACAGGGTGGCT